GTTGTGGTAGGTCGTGTGGCTTCAATTCTTGCACCAGCTGTAGCTAATAAGGTTTTACACCCAAATCCTGTCGCAAAATTTTCCACGTGCAGTAACGGAGGCCCAATTGCTGCGAACGGCGGCGAATCGACATTTCACGGTTGTCACTAACACTGGCGGATACAGCCGCGATATTTTCTTCAGTCCTCACTCTACGTCTGCGTGTTGGTGATAGTAAAATTCAATAATTTGCAAGCGTTGTTCGTTCGTAAGTCGATTCATGGTTGAATTATAGACCAAACTGAACAAGTTTGACAATGACACGATTCACGCGTCATCTGTCAAAAACAGTGTTGCCAAAAAGATACTAGCAAAAAAATCACCCATTATATTTATGGCTTTCCGCTGTTGGACCTGCGGTTTCTACTATCTGAAACCATGATATCTCTACCAGACCCACGAGCGTCATATGTGGAACTTATGGCCGTCCTGTTGAATCCTAGTAGGTCCTTTGTAAACGAGGGCCTTTGATGTTTGATGAACTGTTTTGCCTGCCTTTGCCCCAATTGTTGCTATTGCACCATTCTAGGGACTTTTTCTTCGTCTAATTTCTCAAGAACTGGTTAGTGTGTTCTCTCGCGCTCTGGACCTATAAGGCGATTGGTCATCTGGCTTTACATTTCCTTTGTGCCCTTCATGTTCTGGTACCCAGAGCAACGTTACCGTGTTTCGGTTTCCAGCTCTTTGAGAGTGTTCACGCATTTCCATACTAGTTTAGACGATACTTGAAATGATCCTAATGCCTTTATGGCCATCTGGATGTCTCAGCAGATGCGATCGACTGATATGCAGTCTCATTCCTTAATAGATTTTTTACGCAGACTTGCATGCCCGTTACTTCAGCCTGATACAAAATACACCACTACCATCAATGATTAAAGTGTTCTGTCTGAAAATAGCCAACCTAATGCGATATTGGCGCGTCCAAAAAATTTACCTCGAAAAGGTTATTGATCATAGATGGCGCTGTGGCCAAATATATGAGTTTATATGAGCATACAGTTGACTACAGCGGGCTCTGTCAACATTTCGCTACTAAGCAACGTTATGTGTTGCAGACATTGCTTGCGTTCTGGCAGTGTTGCCAGACGTTGAAGATATCCTCATGTATGATAATTTCAAAGTCCAATCAAAATTAATGTGGTAATATACAGGGTGTAATTCAATTGATGGCTAAAAATACAGGATATCATTCGTTAACTCATTTTAGGAGAAAAAAAAATCATATGAACATATATCCTAAAGCTCCTAACTTTTGAGCTACAAGGTGTTGAAATTTTAAGTGAAAATTGATTTTCTTATCATAACTTTAATACTGTTCTAGATATTTTCATGAAATTTGACATGAACCAATAGGCATTTTTTAATGTGGAATATTTGTTTAATATTACTACCAGTGGCGTCCGTACGGGATGTATACTGGAGACTTGAAAAAAAAGTATGAATCACCATTGCTTTTTTCAACAACTTTTTTTAAATCCTCATCTATTTTGCAATAAATTTTACCTTTTGACACTTTTTTCCGTCCGATGAACCGTTTTCGCGTAAAAAATAAGAACCATTTTCATGCATCTGTAGTATAACGAAATTATTTTGGACTAGTAGACTGGTGCCCTATTTCGTTTATAAAATAATGATATTTGACCGATAATGTTCTTATTTTGACAAGTATTCACATTGTGAAAGTTTCTTTAATCAATAATAAAGAGAAAATGAGCAAACTATGCCAATATTTACAAATTCCGGGTTGGCAGATATGCATTTTACCTACGGACTTGCTGAAGAAAATGCGCTTATGGCTAGGCGGATATATCAAGAGCGGTTTCCAAAACGTATCATTCCCAATGCCAGAATGTTTTCTGGAATACACAGAAGACTACATGAAACTGGGAATGCTGGCATTGACAATAGTTCCAAAGGGACACATCACATGGTGAGAACACCACAATTAGAAGAAGATGTTTTAAACACATCCAGAAACAGGTTCTAGGAAAATTTCTGCAATGTTTAATGTTTCCCATTTTTTATTTGGCAAATACTTGTTGATATACTAAGTGACATATAAATCCGAACACCCAGTTTAAATGGTTTTATTTTAATAAAAGTTGGTGAATGTATTTATCTTACTGTAAATAACAAGTGAAAAAATTTTCAGCCTTATCAGTTGAACATTCCGGTTTTTATACTGCTTTTTTTGATTCACTAACGCTCTAAAAATGAATATTTCAGCCGCAGTAAAGAATCAACGTTGGCGGATTTTGGTTCTTGACATCCTTTACGATCGGTTACGATGCCTAGAGTACGGAGACCTGTACGATTTCGTCAACTTAGTGAGTTTGATAGGGGCCATATAGTGGGACTTCGGGAAGCTGGACTTTCTTTTCGGGCAATTGCAGTTAGAGTGCAAAGAAGTGTAGACACTGTAGTTAGGTGTTGTCAGGCATGGCTTCGAGAAGGCCATACGCAAAGAGCAAGGGGCACTGGACGCCGCCGAAGAACAACAGACCGTGAAGATCGCCGCCTAAGATTATTGGCCTTAAGGGACCGTTTCTCCACTACCAGGTCCATTGCAAATGAATGGTTTGCAGAACACGGAAGACCTATTGGCATGCGAAGTGTTTTCCGACGAATGAGAAGTTTTGGCTTGTTTTCATACCGGCCACACTGGGTCCTCCCTTTAACTCGAGAACACCGACGCAATCGCCTTGAGTGGTGCAGATAACGGTCACTTTGGGATCAGGAATGGAACAGTATTGCCTTTAGTGACGAGTCTCGATTTTGTTTAGGCATGCACGATTGTCGTGCCTGGGTTAGAAGGCGACGTGGTGAAAAGAGGAATCCACAGTTTTTTGTTGAAAGACATGTTCATCACACTGTTGGAGTTATGGTTTGGGGTGCTATAGCTTATGGTTCCAGGTCACCTTTAATCTTCGTCAGCGCAGCGTTATATCCACGAAGTTCTAGAACCCCATCTTTTACCCTATCTTGACACCCTGGCAGATCCAACTTTCCAACAAGATAATGCCCGACCACATGTTGCAAGAGTCACAATAGACTTCTTTCAACATAATGATGTCACATTGTTACCATGGCCACCAAGATCTCCCGACTTATCCCCAATTGAGCACGTGTGGGATATGATGGGTAGGAGATGGCTCGATTTGCAACGTCCTCCTCAGACTCTAGAAGCACTTCGAGAGGAGTTGGTGATTGCCTGGAATGAGATACCACAGGAGGACATTGACCACCTGATCAGAAGCCTGCCTAGGCGCGTTGGAGAATGCGTAGCACATCAGGGTGCATCCACACATTATTAAAGGTCAGAGGGCTTTAAAGCAGTGCAATCATTTTGAAATTTTTATCATTTACTTATTATGCTTCATTAAGTAGTTATACAAAATTTTATTAAAATAACACCATTTAAACTGGGTGTTCGGATTTATATGTCACTTAGTATAATTTACTGTACCCCTGTCATATTCAAAAGGTTCAAGCACTACTGTCGCGTGATTTTCCATTGGGTATAAATTTCTGCTGATAGTTTTTAGAAAAACTTGCTGAAAGCCCTTTATTTGATATCAAAATAATCTTTGCTGATCAAGTTACTTTTTCCCGCAATTCTATTGGAAATTTCCATAATAATCATGTAGGGGCCGCAGAAAGCCCATACACAATTACGGAGGCACATCATCAGGAGCAGTTTTCCGTCAATGTGTGGGCTGGAATACTTAGAGATTTTCTCATAGGACCGTTCTTCCTTCCAGGACGACTGGATGGACTTTCCTATCGTCACTTTCTTGAAAACGATTTGCCAATTTTGCTCGATAACGTACCTCTTTTGCTAAGAGAAAAATGTGGTAGATGCATGATGGTGCTCCTGCGCATTTTAGCATTCATGATAGGGGATTTCTAAAGGAAGCGTCTACGAATCGCTGGATAGGATAGGACGTGGGGAACTCAATCTTGGCCTCCCAGGTCCCTGATTTAAACAGTTTGGACTATTCTTTGTGGGGGCACCTCAAAACTTTAGTTTAAACTACACCGATTCAAACTGTGGACGAACTAAGGCAGACAAATTTACTTTCTACCAAACCTAGAATTTTTGGGTTCGCCATTTCATGAGAAAGAGAATTGAAGCCTGTATTCTAGCAGAAGTAGAACATTTTCAACAATTCCTGTGATAGTTAAATAAAAAGTATCAGTTTTTTGATCCACAGAAATTGTCAAAACTTACTTTTTTAATTTTCATGCATTGCAAAATTCCTAAAATCTCATGTGGTAGTTTGTAGGTAAGATGTGTTCTTGTTTAATTTTTATTCAAAGATGGTTTTTATTTTTTACGCGAAGATGACGCATGGAACGGAAAAAAGTCAAGAGGTCAAAATAGTTGCAAAATAAATGAGGATTTCAAACATTTTGGAAAAAGCAATGGCGTACCATATCCCGTATGGACGCCACTGGTATAAATATTATTCTACATCAAAAAATGCCAATTGGTGCTTAGTAGGTATATGTCAAATTTCATGAAAATATCTAGAACAGTATTAAAGCTATGATGAGTAAACGAATTTTTTATTAAAATTTTAACAACCTGTAGCTCAAAAGTTAAGTGGTTTAAGACATATGTTCATATAAACTGTTCTTTCTAAAATGGGCTAAGCAATCATATTCTGTACTTTTAGCCATCAATTAAATTACACCCTGTATATTACCACATCAATTTTAATTGGACTTAGTAAATAAGAATATCCTTAACATCTGGCAACACTGTCATAATAAAGCAGACGCAACGTCTGCAACACAGAACGTTGCTGAGAAGCGAAATGTTGACAGAGTCCTGTATAAAAGTTATTAGCGGAAGAAATTATATAATACATCACCGTCCTCGCACATTACACCCTCCGGTGTAGTGAACAAAGTTAACTATTACTTGTTTTAATTATCTCCTTAAACTATTCCAGAGTTGGTGATTGAAGAAGACGAGGTGAGCGCGCCATGTGCAAATTTCAAAGTTGGAGACGACGATCTTCATGCTTACGATTTTGTGAGACAATTTCGTCTAGACACGTTGGATACACAGTTCCATGGTGTAACAAAAGTCACAGGAAGCAACAGGGTGCAAACGGCATATAGGCTGGACAAACAGGCAGATATATCACTGCCTACAAGGTAAGAGTAAGATGCGATAAAAACGAAGTCAAAATAGCCGATATTTCCATTTATTTAAAACTCATGCATTTCCTGAACTGTAATTAACATGAAAAAAATCATACAAAAAAAACGGTTGATGTTACATGATAGGAAACAGGTAAAAGTATAACTCATCTAACAATTAAGTCACATCTTCTAAGATTTTTTCTGGAGAAACCTACTTAAAAGTATGACATTGCGTACGCCCCTTCCAGAGTACACTCAATAATCGTTAAACCATAGGTTCTTCACAAAACGTCGTTGGATTTCTCAATGTTATTAAAATATGTATCATAGGCTAGGTACCAGATAATAATCGAACAGTATTGACTAATAGAACTGAAAAAAAAAACCTTAAACAGTAAAATTAATGCAATGGTGTTATTAAAATGCTCACTGTTTCTCATAACAAATCCCATATTTTTATATGATTTAGCTATTATTGTAATATAGTGGTCAACAAATGAAAGCTTTAGATCGAATAATACGCCCAAATCCTTGGAATTATCAACTCGCTGAAGAACACTGCTACCGACTTCTAAAGTGAAACACGTCGGTTCAACCCCGTATGTAAACGTCATAGTAGAACATTAAAATGCATATTATCTTAATATCAGTGATCTTCGATAATCAAATCAGCATGTAACTTAAAACTATATTCTAAGCCGCACACGCTAGTAAAATTTTTCAGATCGTCAGCATGTAGCAGGTACCCGCAACGCAATTCTGTCACAATATCAATATTAAAAAGCAAACATATTAATGGACCAATAACATCACATTTTGCTGAAAAGGCAGTATTTCAAGAGTAATCGAATATTACTGAACGAATTATTTTGTTATTGGTACAATAAGTACAATCACGATATAGAGCTTAATCCTAGAACACAATATTGGGAAGCAAACAAGCTCTAGTGATATATCATGGAAAAAGTAACTGTAAAATGTATTTTTTATCCTGTTTCGTGTTAAGCTACAGGTTCATAGTTAACTTACAAACTTCACTTTACAGGAAAGTATTTCCAGTAGGCTTGCCAGACCAGTTTTCTTTTATATCAACATTCCGGACAAGAAGACATCCCAAAAGAACATGGCATCTAATGAGGATAACAGACAACAGGCACCAACCTCAATTTTTGATTTCCTTGAACCCCAGGAACGAAACCATCGAATTTTCCACGATGAACTACGAAGGACGATTGCAAACGCAGAGTTTTCAACATACTCAGGTAAGCTGTCAGTATTTAGAAGTTCTTTAGATATTAATATTATTATTATCCTGAGTTTTCACAGCTTAAGCTGGTAGTATCTGGGCCACCTCGAATGATGTTTATAGATGGTGACTCTGGGTGGGAATGAAATTCATCATGACCCGCCCTCAATATCGATAAAAACTTTCTTGTAATCCGACAAGTATTGAGGATCACTGCCTTCTGCAGTTGTATACATGTACCCTTTGGAAGGTTCAAGACCTTCAAATTCTCCGACAAAGCGTTCGTGGCCACCCCTTCCACTGATATGATGATGGGAATAATCATTACTTCTTTTAACTTCCACATCCGTGCTAATTCTATTTTGAGGTCTTGATATTTGGAGCATTTCTCAGTTTCCACGGACTTAAGATTATGCGTAAGTGGAACCGCAATATCGATTATGATTCCCGTTTGTTTCTGTTTGTCCATAAGGACTAAATCAGGGCGATTATGTTCTATACGCCTATCAGTGGTTATTGGGCGATCCCAATACATCAATAGGTTCTGATTTTCTAGAACGGACACGGGGTGATATGCGTAGTAGGGCACCTTTGCTTTTATTAGACCTTCTTTGTGTGCGATTAGCTGGTATATTATTGCGGCTACTTTGTTGTGTCTGCCTAAGTATGCATCTTTGGCCAGGTTAGGGCATGCTCCTGTGACATGTTCGATTGTTTCGCCTACTGTATCGCACTTACGGCACTTATCAGAGATAGGGTTCTTCAATATATGCTTGTCATAATTTCTTGTGCAGATAACCTTATCCTGTATAGCACAGATAAACCCTTCGGTCTCAGGGTGTAAGGAACCACGCTGGAGAAATGAGAACGATGTTTTTTTGTTAGCCTTTCCAGTTCTTCCAGATCGGTGTTGCTCCATTCAACGACACCAAAAGAATAAATTAGGGCTGGGACTACCCATGCATTAATGGCTGATATCATATTTTTGGAATTCAGCTTGGTGTTTAGCACTTTTACAAGGCGTTTTCTATATTTTTCCATTAAGTCCTTTTTGATTTCGCTGTGATTTAGTCCCAGTTGCTGTTTGAGCCCTAAGTATTTATACGAATCGCCTTCATTCAATTCCTCGATGTCATTTATTATCTCGCCCATACTAATGATGCGTCCTTTGCTGGCATTAACAGTTGCGCACTTTTCTAAACCGAATTCCATGCATATGCTGTTACTAAACAATTTAACGGTGGTAATCAACGAAGTTAGCTGCTGCTTTGATGCTGCGATCAGTTTGATGTCATCCATGTAAAACATATGGTTAATTCTGACTGCAGTATTCTTCTTAATTCTGTATCCCACGTTGCTGTTGTCGAGTAGCGTCGAGAGGGGGTTTAAGGCTAAACAAAACCAGGTTGGGCTCAATGAATCGCCTTGGAAGATCCCTCTGGATATGCTCAGTTTGCCTATCATATTATTATTATTATTATTATTAAACAAATTTGAGTTGAGTACAAGTACTATAAACTCAAATACTTAATAGAGAATAGTGTACAGAGAAAAGAAATATAACAATTTGGCAATCTTAGCACTTCTGAAGTAGACATATACAGAATGGGAACAATATGTTAAGCACTGCGATGTCTATCATAATTGTTTTTGAAACTGTTGACGGATGCCGAGTTCACTACATAAGATGGAAGACTGTTCCATTCATCGAAGACACTGTTTGAGATAAAGCGCTGACGAGTAGAGGTTCTAAATGCTTCCTTCTGCAATTTGAAGTTACGGCCTCTGAGATTGTTCGTTGCCAGACGAAACAGATGCGACATTTCCACACCAAACAAATTATGTAGTGCTCTGAAAGAGATGATGAGATCTCCTCGCATTCTTATATCAGCAAAAGCAGGCAGGTTATACAGGGTGTTTCAGTTTATTGTTGCATAACTTTAAGATTCGATAGAACTTTTAAAATTAATGCATAAAGTCTATATAAACATGGGTCGAAAAATGCGTGGCTTCCGAAATACAGGGTGCTTAAATTTACTTTCTAAAATGGTTTTTTTTAAATATTTCGAACAATATTTGATGTATAACAGTGAAAATTGGTATACAAGGGTTTTTTTGGTACGGCAAAACGAACCATGGGCATAGTTTTACTGTGGCCGCTAGAGGGCGCTCTCTACTGTATCTGTAGTGTATTAAAATGACCGAAAAAATTTTCTTGACGCAATTTTTTGCTTTTTGAACAAAAAAACTGATTTTTCGCACTTTTCAACATAAAAAAAGCTCTTTTGTGAATTTTCGTTATAGTTAGCCGTTTTTGAGATATTTCGATTTTTCAGGTTCCATGCATTTTTAATTATTTATGATAAAATAAAATAAGTCAGTATCTCGATAATTTTTAGAAGTAGGCTGTGCCTGCAAATATTTTTGAAATTGAAAGCAGAATAAGGTTAAACGTCAATTAGTTGACAGTTAGTTTTGTTGTTTGTTGAAACCTGAAACGTTTTTTTGCAATTGTGAATGCACGAAATTTAGTTTCTTTTACCTGTTTTTTTTTATAAAAATGCCATTTTAATTCTCCAATCAAGAGTTAGCGGATATTCATTTTGTGTATGGCTTTGTAAATGGAAACGCAGCAGAAGTAGTCAGAGAATACGCACGAAGATTTCCAAACAGACGACATCCAACTCGCTCAGTATTTGTAAGAGTGCATCGCCAAATAATTGAAAATGGTTTTGGAAATCTCCAAAGGGATCAAAACATAAATGTTCGTCAGCGCAGATTTACCCGTATGATTCTGCGTGAGTTTGATAGAGATCCGACCACAAGTGTTAGGAGAGTTTCTGGTGCCTTGGGAATTTCAGCAAGCCATGTTCACCGTGTTCTTAGAAATGACCATAGACGTCCTTACCATTTGCAACCTGCGCAAGGACTACAGCCAGGGGACGGAGAACGAAGAATCACATTTTGTCAGTGGATTCTTGATAGAACTGATAATAATAGGGAGTTTTTAAGTAACGTTTTATGGACCGATGAGTCATGCTTCACCAGACGTGGAGTGGTAAATTTTAATAATCAACATATGTGGTCACATGAAAATCCGCATGCAGTTCGGGAAAGAAATTTTCAGCATGACTTTAGTGTGAACGTGTGGATTGGTATCTACCGTAATCGACTATTTGGACCCTACCTTTTGCCTGCAAGGTTAAATGCTGCGACCTTCTTGGAATTTTTAAAGGCTGAACCTGCAACTATGTGGGATGATGTTATGTTAGATTTAAGAAGATTGGCCTGGTTCCAGCTTGATGGTTGTCCAGCTCATTATTCGAGAATAGTTAGAAACTGGCTGGATGAAAATTATCCAGAAAGATGGATCGGCCGTGGAGGACCAGTCGCCTGGCCTCCACGATCCCCTGACCTAAATACATTAGATTTCTTTGTGTGGGGATTTCTAAAGGAAAAAGTGTACCAGACTCCCGTAACCACAAGAGATATGCTAATAGACAGAATCAGGAATACATGTGATGAAATAAGGCCTTATTTGAATAATGCTATACCACGTTCGATCATTCGTAGATGTGAATTGTGTATTGAACAATTGGGTTTACATTTCGAGCAACTACTTTAGATTTTGTATGTTTGTCCTAACTACCCAATAGCATTTTAGTTGTAAATAATTAATTTAATTTGTTAAAAATAATATTGGAAAATTAAACAAATTAATATTGTTTTTTGTGTTTATTTGGAGTTAGGAATTATTGCCGTGTTTAAAAACACAATCTAAACGATCATCTTAATTACTTGTAATGCCCAAATCGAAAATGTAAAAAAATATTATTTTCCCATAAATAATTAAAAATGCATCGAACCTTAAAAATCGAAATATCTCAAAAACGGCTAACTATAACGAAAATTCACAAGAGAGCTTTTTTATGTTGAAAAGTGCGAAGAATCATTTTTTTTTTATACAAAAAGCAAAAAATTGCACTAAGAAAAAAATTTCGGTCATTTTAATACACCACAGGTACAGGAGAGAGCGCCCTCTAGCGGCTACAAAACCCTTGTATACCAATTTTCACTGTTATACATCAAACATTGTTCGAAATATTTAAAAAAAAACTATTTTAGAAAGTAAATTTAAACACCCTGTATTTCGGAAGCCACGCATTTTTCGACCCATGTTTATATAGACTTTATGCATTAATTTTAAAAGTTCTATCGAATCTTAAAGTTATGCAACAATAAACTGAAACACCCTATAGCTCGAGGCGGTCTTCATAACTCGGCCTATGCCTGCCATAAGGCATACGTGTAGCACGACGCTAAACAGCCTCTAATAAGCTGCTATCGCGAACAAGGTTTGAATCCCATACAGGAGCAACAAACTCCAGTAGGGGTCGTACGAAAGTTGTGTACAAGAAGGAGGAGGTACTAACGGTGCAACCGCTAAATGATGTTTTCATCATATAAAGCAACCGGTTTGCCTTAGGCATCAGTATGTAGGTGACCATTGGGATCACGGATTTGTGGGGAAGAAACCTTAGAGTTCAGGGTGGATCTTCTTCTTATCTTTCGATGATGCAAGATTTTGCTCATAATTGCGCTTGGCGTTTTTCAAGTTCTTGGAAAGGATGTTAGAGAAAGATCGATGAGATACATAATCCTGTTGTAGTCTACTTCTATGGAATCTTTGCCATAACGCTTTTTAATGCCTCAACATCCTTGAGAGATTATGGTTAATCCAAGACTTTCTTGGGTGACTGAATATCTTCTTTGTGGTCGTATGCTTAGTGACTTCCAGATGGATTCGACGAGAGAATATAAGCCACATATCTTCAGTGCTACGTTGTGCAAGCACTGTAGTTTAATAGCTTCAGCACAGTTTTGAAGTGTCTGCGTGATGGACTTTGTACATAGATTTGAAGTGAGGTCAATAAAGTACAGTGATCCGAATTGTCAAAAGGAGGTAGGTAGTCTAGACTGGAAACAAAGTCAGGATCATTGACAAATATCAGGTCGAGGGTTCTGGGAGTTTGGCGTTCTCTGAATCTCGTCGGATGATCTACGAGTTGGAGGATGTTCGACTTACGCATTAAATCAATATAAGAGGCAGAAGAGGAGTTGCGTTCTAGTAATGTTGTCATGGGCCAGCTGATGTCACCTAAGTTGAAATCACCAGTTAACAGAATGTTTGAATTTTTGGTTAGAAGTTCTTCAATGAATTTATACAAATAAACATCACCAGCACAGGGACGCGGTCTGTAGATACAGGCTAATACAAAACTGAAGTTTGGCCGTGTTAGTTCCAAAAAGAGGCTGTCGATACCATCGTAGCTCTTGGAAGTAGTAGTTATTGTGAAATTGTCAGCAATTTCAGTACGTACATAAACACAGACCCCACAATACCCCGGCTTGCGAGGGGAATCTACCCTATACAAACAGTAACCAGGCAAATTAACAACATAGTCAGGTGTATTTGGGCTAAGCCAGGTTTCTGTCAGGCAAAGAAACGAAAATTTGGTTCCTCAACAAATGCCTGCACTTCGAGAAGTTTAGATATCAGTGATTGAATGTTTGTGTAGCACACCGACCACTCGGTTAGCAGTTTTTTTATACAGAAGATTGCTGTGCAACAATATTGATAATGGACGGTCTACCCTTGACATATATATATATATATGTATATATACAGGGTGTTTCAGTTTATTGTTGCATAACTTTAGATTCGATAGAACTTTTAAAATTAATGCATAAAGTCTATATATATTCCGATATACAGGGTGTTTAAATTTACTTTTTAAAATAGTTTTTTTTAAATATTTCGAACAATATTTGATGTATAACAGTGAAAATTGGTATACAAGGGTTTTTTGGTACGACAAAGCCAACCATGGGCATAGTCTTACTGTAGCCGCTCTCTACTGTACCTGTAGTGAATTAAAATGACCGAAAAAATTTTCTTAGTGCAATTTTTTGCTTTTTGAATGAAAAAACTGATTCTTGACACTTTTCAACATAAAAAAGCTCTCTGTGAGTTTTCGTTATAGTTAGCCGTTTTTGAGATATTTCGATTTTTAGGGTTCGATGCATTTTTAATTATTTATGGGAAAATAATATTTTTTTTACATTTTCGATTTGGGCATTACAAGTAATTAAGATGATCGTTTAGAATGTGTTTTTAAACACAGCAATAATTCCTAACTCCAAATAAGCACAAAAAAACAGAATATTAATTTGTTTAATTTTCCAATATTATTTTTAACTAATTAATTATTTACAACCAAAATGCTCTTGGCTAGTTAGGACAAACATACAAAATCTAAGGTAGTTGCTCGAAATGTAAGCCCAATTGTTCAATACACAATTCACATCTACGAATGATCGAACGTGGTATTGGTATAGCATTATTTAAATAAGGCCTTATTTCATCACATGTATTCCTGATTCTGTCTATTAGCATATCTTTTGTGGTTACGGGAGTCTGGTACACTTTTTCGTTTAGAAATCCCCACACAAAGAAATCTAATGGATTTAGGTCAGGGGATCGTGGAGGCCAGGCGACTGGTCCTCCACGGCCGATCCATCTTTCTGGATAATTTTCGTCCAGCCAGTTTCTAACTAATCTCGAATAATGAGCTGGACAACCATCAAGCTGGAACCAGGCCAATCTTCTTAAATCTAACATAACATCATCCCACATATTTGCATGTTCAGCCTTTAAAAATTCCAAGAAGGTCGCAGCATTTAACCTTGTAGGCAAAGGTAGGGTCCAAATAGTCGATTACGGTAGATACCAATCAACACGTTCACACTAATTCATGTTGAAAATTTCTTTCCCGAATTGTATGCGGATTTTCATGCAACCAAATATGTTGATTATGAAAATTTACCACTCCACGTTTAGTGAAGCATGACTCATCGGTCCATAAAACGTTACTTAAAAACTCCCTATTATTATCAGTTCTATCAAGAATCCACTGACAAAATGTGATTCTTCGTTCTCAGGCCCTGGCTGTAGTCCTTGCACAGGTTGCAAATGGTAAGGACGTCTATGGTCATTTCTAAGAACACGGTGAACATGGCTTGCTGAAATTCCCAAGGCACCAGAAACTCTCCTAACACTTGTGGTCGGATCTCTATCAAACTCACGCAGAATCATATGGGTAAATCTGCGCTGACGAACATTTATGTTTTGATCCCTTTTAGAGATTTCCAAAACCATTTTCAATTATTTGGCGATGCACTCTTACAAATACTGAGCAAGTTGGATGTCGTCTGTTTGGAAATCTTCGTGCATATTCTCTGGCTGCTTCTGCTGCGTTTCCATTTACAAAGCCATACATAAAATGAATATCCGCTAACTCTTGATTGGAGAATAAAAATAACATTTTTATAAAACTTACAAAAAAAACAGGTAAAAGAAACTAAATTTCATGCATTCACAATTGCAAAAAAACGTTTCCGGTTTCAACAGACAACAAAACTAACTGTCAACTAATTGACGTTTAACCTTATTCTGCTTTCAATTTCAAAAATATTTGCAGGCACAGCCTACTTCTAAAAATTATCGAGATACTGACGTTTTAACGTTATTTTATCATAAATAATTAAAAATGCATCGAACCTTAAAAATCGAAATATCTCAAAAACGGCTAACTATAACGAAAATTCACAAGAGAGCTTTTTTATGTTGAAAAGTGCGAAGAATCAGTTTTTTTATTCAAAAAGCAAAAAATTGCACTAAGAAAAAATGTTCGATCATTTTAATACACTACAGGTACAGTAGAGAGCGCCCTCTAGCGGCTACAGTAAAACTATGCCCATGGTTCGTTTTGTCTTACCAAAAAAACCCTCGTATAACAATTTTCACTGTTATAAATCAAATATTGTTCGAAATATTTAAAAAAAACTATTTTAGAAAGTAAATTTAAACACCCTGTATTTCGGAAGCCACGCATTTTTCGACCCATGTTTATATAGACTTTATGCATTAATTTTAAAAGTTCTATCGAATCTCAAAATTATGCAACAATAAACTGAAACATCCTGTATATGGGAATAAACACGTGGCTTGAATGTTAACTTTTTGAAGGAACAATTTGGATAACTTGACCTTAAAGGTTTTATGCCACTTTCGCGCTGAAAGGATTTGGATATCCGTTAGTTCTACGCAGGACATCTAATAGACAACCATTGGATATCTGCTCTCCGAGAAGACTTCACCTGATGAGAATATTTTTAGAACGTGTGAAGGTTTTCCAAATACCCTAATGCGAGTATTCTTAGAACGTGCTGTGGGATATGTGCTCCTAATAGGGATTTATGATACATTCTTAACACATTCTATTGATGTGCGGTATGTTATTTACGCACGTGCTTAGAACGTGATATCGGTATTAGAGGTCATTCTTAGAACATGCATAGCAAGTGATTTCATCTACTGGGAGTACATCCAGTTTCGTCCACTTGTAGCCACATGAACGGAAATGAGTGGAATTTTGATAAGTAAACAGTTTTGAACGGTCTCGCAGTACTTTCTATGATCTATAAGAAAAATACTCTCTGAAGCTTTATTTAAACCTACAGCTGCAATTTTTTATTTTACTTGACTATTGAACCGTTGGTTTTCAGATTTTTGACCGGAATTGGCATAAGCTTCACTTAGGGGTTTCCAGAGAAGACGTCGTGGCATACGTGGATTGCCAACTAATCAACCGGAAGCCGTTAGATCCTAAAGGACAGATTGACATCAACGGGGAGATATCTTTAGCTAAACTTGGGCCATCGAGAGAGACAGTTCCGGTAAATAGAAGAAACACAATGACAGACAAACACTGTTACTCAAACACACAGCAACGTACACTTAACATTTCTCATCTACTCACATTTATATCGTATATTGGAGTACCAAGTTGAAAGATGATGTACGCGAGGTATTCCAGAATAGCATGTAACGTTTTTGGAACTACATGGCTACGAAATGAAACAACTCATTATAGAGACTTGAAGAGTATCCGTTGATCAACTCTCAAGATAAAAAGATTACTTTAGAAAAGAAAACACTGGGCTGCTTAGTTGAGTTACTTCGTCTGCCAAATGAGTAACTAACAGGGATGAGATTGAGCTGATTTCGTTATGATTAATTTAAAATTCAAACTTCAATACAAAGAATTAGCTCATCGAATATGGAAGAAGAACTAGATATACAGGGTGTAAACGTTATGGTTAGTAATTATGGAAATGGGTAATAGGAGGGTCAAAACAAGTCAAAAAGTTCATATGACCCATGGTCCAAAAGTCAATAGATTTTTGTCTAAATGGTTTTATAGTTTACAACTTTAAGTGCTTTATATCGACCACAATCACCACAATTTTACTAATTTTTATAATCTAAACTAAAACGTTTTGAAATTGGGTAATTAACAAATAAATGGGATTAAGTTTTTCTAAGTTAAGCCAAAATTTGTAGTCAGTAACTAAGTTTCATTAAATTAAATATTTAAAACACACATGACAACAGCGCGTCGGTCATTCATCACTCTTATCGAACCGGCAATCGATCGCAAACGATAACAATGGTTAGTTATTGTTCGCGTACGTCGTCGTGTTTATTTACAATGTTCTCGAATCAAGAGTTCGCCGACATGTTAGTTTACGGTGAAGCTCGTCAGAATTCAAATCTTGCAGCTCAAATTTGTCGCGACAGATTTCGATAAAGGGGACACCCAGACAGAAGGACATGTATGCAAGTGTACCAGAGATACAGGAAATGTTCAGCCCACTAATATTCGCACTCGTGAAAGACAGGTTACTGTGGAGCAGGAGGAACAAATTTTAAATATCGTGGAATCAATGCAGATATCAGCACTCGTGAATTAGGCCGGCGCGTAGGACTAACACATACCATAGTCCCTATTGGAAATTTTGCTTTATCCCTACCATGTACAACGAGTGCAGGCCTTATTACCAGAAGACTATCCTCGCAGACTAACATTCTGCTAGTGGTTTTTGTACAAAAACATTGAAAATCCGGATTTTTTTAAGAACAGTCTAGCGACGGACGAATGTACTTTTACGCGAGACGGGATATTAAATTTCCATAATACTCACACGTAGGCCCAAGAAAATCCTCTTACCATTCGTGAAGGTCATTACCAACGTTTTAAAATAAATATTTGGGCGGGTATTCTTGACGATAAGGTAATTGGCCCTTTCGAGTTACCCCCAAAGTTGTCAGGAGAAGGATATCTCAGCTTTCTAGCCATTAACCTACCAGAACTTTTGGAACAGACCTTAGACAACATGCCATTACAACGGAGACAGAATTTGTGGTTTCTTCATGACGGGGCATCACCAGACATTTTTAGAGGCGTCATTCAGTATTTGAATGAACATTATCCAAATCGCTGGATCGGTCGAAATGCTCCTGATCCTCGAAAATGGCCAGCAAGATCTCCTGACCTCAATCCGATGGATTTCTGGTATTGGGGACAACTTAAAGGGATGGTTTATGGGGCTGGTCCAATAATAACTGAAGCACAACTTCGCGAAAAACAATGCGGCTGAAATAATAAATGGACAACTTCGAGGACCTATAGGGTAAGAAGAAACTGGGTTCGTCGTAATGAAGCTTGTGTGGAAAGTGGAGGACGACATTTTGAACACCTTCTTTAAATACAAAAAAGTGCAGTGTGGGTTTTAAAAAGAGGAACAATGTATGTATCAAAATTTTGTTCCCTATTTATAAGTGGATCTTTTTGATACGTTCAATAAACTTTCACACACCAGATGAAGCGCTGAGACACTTAGTGGTGAGTCCGTTTTTTTTAATTGTTTGCATTTTACGAGTACATTGTCAAATAATGAAATAATACCTAAGAACCAGAAATAACAAACTCCATCTATATTTACACTGCGTTCCGTCGTAATTTCGCGTCTGACATTGCGGCGTTGTCAGATTTTATTTTACATTAAAGTCGCTTTTCTCTAAAAAAAATGCCGTTTTGACCCATTTAAATAATGACATACTGCCCTACTGAGCGAGGGCCGTGGCAAATGCTTGTTCCGGAAGTTGTTGTATCCAGTATACAACTTCTTCTCGTTCAAGTGATTGTCCACGCGTTAAGGAATACCTCAGTACCGATTGCCGGATGGCGGTACAAGTCCGCCAACGGGCCACTTTAGGTCTATTTAACATCACTAACACGTAAAAAGAAGGTGGTAGAAAAGGGCCAGTCGACCGAGGCAGTGCCACCCGCTAGCTTTTCCCAGGGTGTCTTATAAATGTCCGCATGTTTCCACACCTAAGTTATGCAGTCGGTTATCTACCAAAACAAAGAAATTAATGATGATGGATCCCTCGAGCACTAAGAACTCCGGACGTAAACTCACTCCACTCTCGGAATGTCCGGGTGGAGGGTGGGCTCGAGGGAACAACATCGAAGATAAAATTTGTTTTTCGAACATCTGCGGGATCAACAGCAACGTTTATGCTGCTCATCACTACCTGCAATCCAATCGTCCCGCCGTGCTTTTCTTGGCGGAGACAAAAATCTCAGAGACTGCACCGATTAACCATCTCAACTTCCCAAACTACGAGGTGCTCTCCAATCTGAGAAAGAACGGGGGAGTTGTGGCTTTTGTCCGCAGCAGTCTTTCCTGCTCCAGGGATCTTTCTTTGGAATCAGACCGGAAGGACATTCTGTGGCTTCGCCTCAACTCCAAAACATCACCCAAATTTATTTGCTGCCTTTATCGCTCTCCCTCGAACCATAACTGGGATGACCTACTCGAATACCTCGCCGTCCAGATCGACTTCCTGAACATCAATCACCCCGCTTCAGAGGTAGTTCTTCTCGGTGATTTCAATGCCCATAATGAGCTTTGGTTGGGCTCAAATAAGACCGATGCAGCAGGTCGTGCAGTAGAAGCGTTCGCTCTTACTCAAGTGCTGACCCAGCTGGTGACGAGCCCTACTTTTTTCCCCCGCGTCTCGTCACACGCCAGTAGCCTGCTGGATCTCTTTCTGACCACGCATCCTGCCCCTTACAGCACTGCTGTCCTGTCCCCCCTGGGTAACTCAGATCACGGTGTTGTGGAGGTTAGGTTTCGGTCAGAAGCCGCTGTGGCAGCAGAAACTCGCACAGGCCGCAAAACTTGGCATTACGGACATGCCGACTGGGAGGGGCTCAGAGACTTCTTCTCTAGCTTTCCTTGGAGAGATGTCATTTTCACTGACGCGGATGCGTTGACTGTCTGTTCTTCAATAACCGAAATTATCCACGTCGGAATAGAGGAATACATCCCTCATACAGTGAAAGTTCCTAAACCAGGGTCCAACGGCTTTTTCAACAAATCGTGTGACACTGCACGCCAGCAGAAGATCAAGGCCCACAGAACCTACTTACAAAACCCCACTGTAGAGAACAGACAAGCCGACGTCGAGTCCAGAAACAAATGTAACGAAGCGGTTCGCAATGCCAAAAACCAGCATGATATAAAAGTTAGGCACAGGGTAATGTCGCAGCGCAACGGCAGTCGGTCTTTCTGGACGCTGGCTAAGCAGATTGAAAAGAACTTCTCACACAGTAGCCTTCCACCACTTACGTGTCAGGATGGAACTATTGTATTCGACTCAAAGGCCAAGGCGGAAGTGCTAGCCAGGATCTTTGCTGCCAACTCCACCATGGACCAACGCCCAAGTGCCGTCAATTCAAAGGGTTCCCCACACTATGCGGGAGGTAACATTCAGGCATAAGACCGTAAGACGAGTGCTCTTGTCGCTTGACATCAACAAAGCTTCTGGTCCGGACTTGATTCCTGCCATTGTACTGAAGAGATGCGCAGCGGAGCTTGCTCCAGTTCTTTCGTGTCTCTTCCAGATATCTTATGAATCCGGCACCTTCCCAGAAAACTGGAAATTTGCTCATGTACAGCCCATCCCAAAAAAAGGATCTAAGACCCACATAGCTCTGCTTTCTGTTATAAGTAAAGTGATGGAGAGGTGCATAAATCGCGAGCTTCTGGACTAACTCGAACGTCACAGCTTGACTAGCGACAGGCAGTACGGTTTCCGGCACCAACGATCCACAGGGGACCTCCTAGCTTACGTCACGCAACTGTGGAGTAAACTCATCCAGTCTCATGGTGAGGCTCATGTCGTTGCTTTTGACATCACGAAGGCGTTCGATCAGCTGTGGCACACTGCCCTCCTAAGCAAACTTCCATCCTACGGCCTCCCAGAAAAGCTTTGCAGATGGGTGGCTGACTTTATCTCTGGCCGCAAGATATCCGCCGTAATTGACGGATTCTCCTCTTCATCCCACAACGTCAACGCGGGTGTTCCCCAGGGATCTATCTTGGCTCCAACACTGTTTCTCTTACATATCAACGACCTCCTTTCCTTCACGATCAACCCAATCCGCAGCTTCGCTGATGACGGTACTCTACATGCAGGAATTCAGAGTGACAAGCCGATCTCTGCCGCTGAGCTGGAAAAAAGAAGACTAGCGACGACTTCTCCTCTGACAAGAGACCTGGAGGCTATCACGGCTTGGGGGCGCAACAATCTTGTACAGTTCAATGCTTCCAAAACACAGTACTGTACTTTGACGAACAAAAAGCGTCCTAGCGCTTATACAGTTTCGATGGACGGTCGAGTTCTACCAAAGAGCCATTCATTTCGGCTGGTCGGAGTCCAGATCACCGAGGACCTGATCTGGCACGAACACATCTCTTCAATAGCTGCAGCTGCTGGGAAAAAGCTAGGCTATTTGTTTAGGGCTAAGAAGTACTTTTCTCCGCATGACCTTCTCACTCTATACAAGGCCCAGATAAGGCCTAGCCTCGAGTATTGCTCACACATTTGGGGTGCTGCCGCCCCGACTACATTGTCCATGCTCGATGCTGTCCAGAGGAGGGCGGTCCGACTGATCGATGACTCTTCTCTAACAGACAGTCTCGGGACTCTTTCGCACCGGCGGGTCGTCGGCGATCTAGCTCTTTTCTATCGCTACACCAACGGGCTTTGCTCCTCAGAGCTCTCTTCCATGATGCCGCCGCGCGATGTGCCTGCCAGACAGACCCGCCTGACTTCGGCGTCCCATCCTAACCGTGTCCAAACTTCGTACATCCAGAACTGACCGATACGACCGCGCCTTTGTCCCGAGGGTGTCTAGATTGTGGAACAATCTACGGGAGAAAGCTTTTCCCAGTTCTACTAACCTTAAACAGTTCAAAAATCGTATTAACAAAATTTCTTTGGGATCATCATAGCAGCCGCGGTGTTCCGGCATTTAGGCTTCTACCTTCTACCTGCGCGGCTGTTTCGATATCAAAAAAAAAAACGACTATCATAACGTTTAAACCCTGTATAAATTAGATAAGTTGTATAAAATATTGAGGTGATTTCATTATGGAGGTATTAATGAGACGTTGAAAGATGCTAAATTGATATATAAAGTCATAATGATGATACCAAGAATCTAAATAGGCACTTTATCAGTAATTAGTGGAATCATGACCAGAGAGAAATTGGGAATTTAAGCGCTAGAGATCAGAAAACTTCTAGGGCTCTATTGCCTCAAAACCCAAGTACAGAACTGAACTTCCCGAACGATTCTTTTAGGCCGAGAGGTCAGACAGATGGTCATTCATTCAGTGGTGTCGCATTTAAGAAGGACATTAAAGTGAAAGCAAGCCGATATCAGAGGAAAACTGTACCGTAAAGACCTCTTTCGGCAGTAATTTACATGATGATTTGAATCTATATTACAGTTGAATATTTCATTTTATTACACCTCTAACAAAACAAGTGTTCTCAGGATAAAGTTTCTGTGGAAAGGCTGTAAACTGAATGAGTTACTGCGGTTCGGTCCACTTCCAGATGTTTTTATTATCTGAACTGTCCAGTCATTTTCTTATAAAATGCTCAAATGTGTCACAAAAACAATGAACTCAAATGAGTTCTAAGTAAGACGCTAAGGACGAATTAGAGAATCTGAATTTTTTTCACCCTGTATAATAATGTCCCAAGAATAATTTTGTTGATTTTTCTAAAAAGACGCAAAAATATATTCGCGTTTGATTTCAATAAAATACGCCGTTTCGTATAAAAATACTGTTATTTCAATACCGTTCCTATGTACTCACCAAAAAGTCTGACTTAAATCTAAAACTGTCACACGCGATCGGAAAATTTATATTCTGAGTTTTTTCGGGTCGCTAAATTTTGAGAATAGCATAACCATACTGGGTTCAGTGTTAAAGTTAATAGTGAGTGTACTGAACCAAGAGTAGGTATTTTTCTCCATGAACGATACATTTTATCGGAAAAGCAGGGGTACATTTTAGTCTCCATGCCAATCGCGAATAATTTCAAAAATCGTAAATAAATATGTTTTTTGGATGTTCCATGGCATTTTTTGAATATGCTCAATAAACGGCACAATAAGCGGCTGAGATTTCGGTTTGATACAAGGGACACTAGAAAAAAAATCTACCTAGCTATGAGAAAACAATTAAAAGGCACAAGCATAATATGTCAAATTGTGCAGGAATGGAGCCTCGTTGATATAAACCATCCTCCCTATACCCGGACTTGACTCTGTCTGACTTTTATCTCTTTAGGTCCCTAAAGAAATGTCTTGGAGAATGCCGTTTTGACTCAGATGATGGCCTAAAAGTAACCATCGACAACTTTTTTGAGAGTCTAGAAGAAAAAATGTATTACAACGATATAGGAGGAGAAATGTCGCAAGTGCATTGATATAGGGGGGATTATATTCAAAAATAAAATTATCAAAAAAATCGTACGTCTTTTGTTTCATGACTACATAGATTTATTTTCTAGTATGAGGGATGTCTTTTAAGTTTTGCATATGGAAATAAAACAACACGGTAGGTAGTTTTAAATGACTTTATTATTTTTCGAAGTATTCTCCACGAAGATTAATTCACATCTGCATGAGCTCGAACCAATTTTCGAAGCACTTATTCCACTCGTTTGCTGGCAGATCCAAAACGGCATTTCTGAATGCGTCAACTGCTTCTTCTGGTGACTCTAACCTTTGACCCGGGAAAGTAAAGAAATCGTTAGGACTTAGATCGGGACTATATGGAGGATGGTTCAATAATTCCACGTTTTCTTCCATTAAATAATGGCTTGTTTTTTGGGCAGTGCGCGAGCTTGCATTGTCTTGGTGGAGGATGATTCTTCTTTCGGGGTTGATTTTTCGAAGCTCGGTGACGACTTTTGGCAAACAAATGGTGGTATACCAACAGTTCTTTGCTCATTAAGAGGAATTGTTGCAATATGATCCGCTTTTGACATAAATGTCGCGACCATCCTTTTCGAAACACTTCGAGAACGAATGACTTTTGTTGGCTTTCCTTCACGTTGGAACACCCAAACAGCCGACAGTCGTTTATTTTCTGGTTCATAACATTAAACCCACGATTCATCACCAATAACAATGCTGTACACATTTTTTGAGTTTCCAGAATTGAAACGGTCAAGCGTTTTTGACACCAATTAACCCTGGCTGCTTTCTGCTCTTCAGTCAACAGGTGGGGTATCCAACGAGAAACTAATTTTCTTACTCCTAATTCTTCATTCAAAATTTTTTGAGTTGAGGTCTTTGAGATCTTCAAGGACGCCTCAATCTCACGATATGTCACATGTCTATCTTCAATGATGAGTTTGCGCAAAGCATCGACGTTTTCCTGGGTGACTGCCGTTTTTGGTGCACCCACCCTGAGGTCGTCGCTAAGACTCACCCGTCCACGTTTGAATTCTCCATACCAACGGGAAATTGGCGACTGATGTGGCGCTTCGTTGCCGAAAACAGACAGTAACTCAGTAAGGCATCCTTGTTGCTATAACTGTCTGTAATAAATTATGGCGCGAAAATGTTCTCGGTTGAGTTCCATTTTTCTAATGACTTGGTGACACTTAAAAATTCACTGTAGTGAGAACACTGCACGTATTGTTGTGAAACTTTGAATTTAAGTTTACTAAAGAGTGAGGTTAAGATTCAGTACTGACGTTCGATCCACGCAGTCTATGTTTCTATATGCAAAACTTAAAAGACATCCCTCGTACTCCTCCTAAATGGGCAAGAAAATCCACAAAATGGCAGCTTGTGTTACAAAATTTGAACTTTTACTTCTCTTTAAGAACCAGAACTTCCAACTACGGAAGCAGTTCCATTTGTAAAACGATAATTTCTAACTGCGCATGCTGTGTTCAGTTCACTTCCAATTTGGTACTCAGAAAATAATACAGATTAACACTTGTACAGAATTTGTTGTAGGATATCGCAAGTATAATTTGACTTCCTCCGCTGATAATGGAAGGAAATATTGAAATTGCAAAATTACAACTTAACACAGTGCGAGGCGATAGTCTCAAATGTGGCTTGCTTATTAATATGTTTTGCTTTTGCAGAGATTTCGAAGGTCTATTCCGGTAAGTCTGTGCATGTCGTAGGTGTTAGTTGACATACTAGACATCTAGATGATATTGTACTGAAAAAAGGCATGCATATTTCCATTTATTCAGATTCATTCAAATAAGTACAGATATTCAAATAAGCTGAAAAGTATCAAGTCCATCAGTGCTGATTTTGTACAAAGCAAGAAGAAATCCCTGTTCACCCCTTAGGTCACTGCGCGGGCTGTGCTTTCTTGTTCATTTCAGTTAATGATGAACTAGTTCAATTAGATCGGTCATCATTTGAACTAGTTCGTGTGCGAACTACACATTGATACCGGCAAATCCAAAGGCTTTCAGGATAGATTTAATTCGATATCTTCTGTTCATGTTATATCATGGTAAAGATCGTTACTGTTTCACTGAATCTGAATCCCTGCATTATAAAGCATCATACGAGACTATAGTGTCTCATAGTTTACATTAAAACATGGTATCTGTCTTGACAATATTCTTGCACGAAAATGATATTACCCCTGACACAGCGTAAGGTGTGCTACAATGATGTTGCTCATAATACATGTATACCGCGCGAATAATGTTGCAATGTTCTTACGTGGAGATTTCAGTACGCCAGCAGGCTGGCAAAGCTACGAAAATATATACGACGGGTTTAAATAAAACGAAAAATGAAAGAAATATCATCTTATGTTCCTGGCAGACAAGGTCTCACAGGTATTCAATCCTGTTTATGATAGCTTGACTATATTTTTACAGGGTGTTTCAGTTTATTGTTGCATAACTTTAAGATTCGATAGAACTTTTAAAACTAATGCATAAAGTCTATATAAACATGGGTCGAAAAATGCGTGGCTTCCAAACTACAGGGTCTTTAAATTTACTTTCTAAAATAGTTTTTTTTTTAAATATTTCGAACAATATTTGATGTATAACAGTGAAAATTGGTATACAAGGGTTTTTTGGTACGATAAAACGTAACATGGGCATACTTTTACTGTAGCCGCTAGAGGGCGATCTCTACTGTACCTGTAGTGTATTAAAATGACCGAAAATTTTTTCTTAGTGCAATTTTTTGCTTTTTGCTTCGCACTTTTCTGCATAAAAAAGCTCTCCTGTGAGTTTTCGTTATAGTTAGCCGTTTTTGAGATATTTCGATTTTTAAGGTTCGATGCATTTTTAATTATTTATGGGAAAATAATATTTTTTTTACATTTTCGATTTGGGCATTACAAGTAATTAAGATGATCGTTTAGATTGTCTTTCTAACACAGCAATAATTCCTAACTCCAAATAAACACAAAAAAACAGAATATGAATTTGTTTAATTTTCCAATATTATTTTTAACAAATTAAATGAATATTGGATCCTATTGGATAGTTAGGACAAACAAACAAAATCTAAAGTAGTTGCTCGAAATGTAAACCCAATTGTTCAATACACAATTCACATCTACGAATGATCGAACGTGGTATAGCATTATTCAAATAAGGCCTTATTTCATCACATGCATTCCTGATTCTGTCTATTAGCATATCTCTTGTGGTTACGGGAGTCTGGTACACTTTTTCTTTTAGAAATCCCCACACAAAGAAATCTAATGGATTTAGGTCAGGGGATCATGGAGGCCAGGCGACTGGTCCTCCACGGCGGATCCATCTTTCTGGATAATTTTCGTCCAGCCAGTTTCTAACTATTCTCGAATAATGAGCTGAACAACCATCAAGCGGGAACCAGGCCAATCTTCTTAAATCTAACATAACATCATCCCACATATTTGCATGTTCAGCCTTTAAAAATTCCAAGAAGGTCGCAGCATTTAACCTTGCAGGCAAAAGGTAGGGTCCAAATAGTCAATTACGGTAGATACCAATCCACACGTTCACACTAAATTCATGCTGAAAATGTCTTTCCCGAACTGCATGCGGATTTTCATGCGACCAAATATGTTGATTATGAAAATTTACCACTCCACGTCTAGTGAAGCATGACTCATCGGTCCATAAAACTTTACTTAAAAACTCCCTATTATTATCAGTTCTATCAAGAATCCACTGACAAAATGTGATTCTTCGTTCTCCGTCCCCTGGCTGTAGTCCTTGCACAGGTTGCAAATGGTAAGGACGTCTATGGTCATTTCTAAGAACACGGTGAACATGACTTGCTGAAATTCCCAAGGCACCAGAAACTCTCCTAACACTTGTGGTCGGATCTCTATCAAACTCACGCAGAATCATACAGGTAAATCTGCGCTGACGAACATTTATGTTTTGATCCCTTTGGAGATTTCCAAAACCATTTTCAATTATTTGGCGATGCACTCTTACAAATACTGAGCGAGTTGGAAGTCGTCTGTTTGTAAATCTTCGTGCGTATTCTCTGGCTGCTTCTGCTGCGTTTCCATTTACAAAATGAATATCCGGTAACTCTTGATTGGAGAATAAAAATGGCATTTTTATAAAACTTACAAAAAAAAACAGGTAAAAGAAACTAAATTTCGTGCATTCACAATTGCAAAAAAACGTTTCAGGTTTCAACAGACAACAAAACTAACTGTCAACTAATTGACGTTTAACCTTATTCTGCTTTCAATTTCAAAAATATTTGCAGGCTCAGCCTACTTCTAAGAATTATCGAGATACTGACTTTTTAACGTTATTTTATCATAAATAATTAAAAATGCATCAAACCTTAAAAATCGAAATATCTCAAAAACGGCTAACTATAACGAAAATTCACAAGAGAGCTTTTTTATGTTGAAAAGTGCGAAGAATTAGTTTTTTTATTCAAAAAGCAAAAAATTGCACTAAGAAAATTTTTTCGGTCATTTTAATACACTACAGGTACAGTAGAGAGCACCCTCTAGCGGCTACAGTAAAACTATGTCCATAGTTCGTTTTTTCGTACCAAAAAACCCTTGTATACCAATTTTCACTGTTATACATCAAATATTGTTTGTATATTATTGTAATTTTAATAGTTCTATCGAATCTTAAAGTGATGCAACAATAAACTGAAACACCCTGTATACACATCCTTTATTGTATTTATTTATTTTATTTTTATCCAAGGATAGAATTAGATTCCTGAAATTTGCAATATAGATTACTTCCTGTTCCGTTTTTACGCACGCATAAGCAGTTTTTATATAATAGATTCTTGAAAATGTTATGCCTAGTATTCATTCATTACAATTATTTTATCATTTCCACTACAGGGTGTTTCAGTTTATTGTTGCATAACTTTAAGATGCGATAGAACTTTTAAAATTAATGCATAAAGTCTATATAAACATGGGTCGAAAAATGCGTGGCTTCTGGTGTTTAAATTTACTTTCTAAAATAGTTTTTTTAAAATATTTCGAACAATATTAGATGTATAACAGTGAAAATTGGTATACAAGGGTTTTTTTGTACAACAAAACGAACCATGGGCATAGTTTTACTGCAGCCGCTAGAGGGCGCTCTCCACTGTACCTGTGGTATATTAAAATGATCGAACAAATTTTCCTAGTGCAATTTTTTGCTTTTAGAATAAAAAAACTGATTCTTCGCACTTTTCAACATAAAAAATCTCTCTTGTGAATTTTCGTTATAGTTAGCCGTTTTTGAGATATTTCGATTTTTAAGGTTCGATGCATTTTTAATTATTTATGATAAAATAACGTTAAAAAGTCAGTATCTCGATAATATTTAGAAGTAGGCTGTGCCTGCAAGTATTTTTGAAATTGAAAGCAGAATAAGGTTAAACGTCAATTAGTTGACAGTTGGTTTTGTTGTCTGTTGAAACCTGAAACGTTTTTTTGTAATTGTGAATGCACGAAGTTTCTTTTACCTGTTTTTTATAAGTTTTATAAAAATGCCATTTTTATTCTCCAATCAAGAGTTAGCGGATATTCATTTTGTATATGGCTTTGTAAATGGAAACGCAGCAGAAGCAGCCAGAGAATACGCACGAAGATTTCCAAACAGACGACATCCAACTCGCTCAGTATTTGTAAGAGTGCATCGCCAAATAATTGAAAATGGTTTTGGAAATCTCCAAAGGGATCAAAACATAAATGTTCGTCAGCGCAGATTTACCCGTATGATTCTGCGTGAGTCTGATAGAGATCCAACCACAAGTGTTAGGAGAGTTTCTGGTGCCTTGGGAATTTCAGCAAGCCATGTTCACCGTGTTCTTAGAAATGACCATAGACGTCCTTACCATTTGCAACCTGTGCAAGGACTACAACCAGGGGACGGAGAACGAAGAATCACATTTTGTCAGTGGATTCTTGATAGAACTGATAATAATAGGGGGTTCTTAAGTAACCTTTTATGGACCGATGAGTCATGCCTCACTAGACGTGGAGTGGTAAATTTTCATAATCAACATATTTGGCCGCATGAAAATCCGCATGCAGTTCGGGAAAGAAATGTTCAGCATGAATTTAGTGTGAACGTGTGGATTGGTATCTGCCGTAATCGACTATTTGGACCCTACCTTTTGCCTGCAAGGTTAAATGCTGCGACCTTCTTGGAATTTTTAAAGGCTGAACATGCAAATATGTGGGATGATGTTATGTTAGATTTAAGAAGATTGGCCTGGTTCCAGCTTGATGGTTGTCCAGCTCATTATTCGAGAATAGTTAGAAACTGGCTGGACGAAAATTATCCAGAAAGATGGATCGGCCGTGGAGGACCAGTCGCCTGGCCTCCCGTAACCACAAGAGATATGCTAATAGACAGAATCAGGAATGCATGTGATGAAATAGGGCCTTATTTGAGTAATGCTATACCACGTTCGATCATTCGTAGATGTGAATTGTGTATTGAACAATTGGGTTTACATTTCGAGCAACTACTATAGATTTTGTATGTTTGTCCTAACTATCCAATAGCATTTTAGTTGTAAATAATTAATTTAATTTGTTAAAAATAATATTGGATAATTAAACAAATTAATATTCTGTTTTTTTGTGTTTATTTGGAGTTAGGAATTATTGCTGTGTTTAAAAAGACAATCTAAACGATCATCTTAATTACTTCTAATGCCCAAATCAAAAATGTAAATAAAATATTATTTTCCCATAAATAATTAAAAATGCATCGAACCTTAAAAATCGAAATATCTCAAAAACGGCTAACTATAACGAAAAGTACAGGCCAGTTTTTTTTGCAGAAAAGTGCGAAGAATCAGTTTTTTTATTCAAAAAGCAAAAAATTGCACTAAGAAAAAATTTTCGGTCATTTTAATACACTACAGGTACAGTAGAGAGCGCCCTCTAGCGGCTACAGTTAAACTATGCCCATGGTTCGTTTTGTCGTACCTGAAAACCGTTGTATACCGAGTTTCACTGTTATACATCAAATATTGTTCGAAATATTTAAAAAAAACTATTTTAAAAAGTAAATTTAAACACCCTGTATTTCGGAAGCCACGCATTTTTCGACCCATGTTTATATAGACTTTATGCATTAATTTTAAAAGTTCTATCGAATCATAAAGTTATGCAACAATAAACTGAAACACCCTGTATATTAACATTACATTGCAATGCTGGAAAGCTCTGGTAAGTAACTCTACAATGTTCTTTCAGGCAAGTTGTATCCGTTGTTTTTACTCGCACAATTTATTAAAACTGCTCACGTACCAAGGAAGGACGTTGTACCGTATCTTACCATGATTATACAGCTAAGAGCAAAATTTGCTCATATTGAAATTACCTATTTACAGTTTTCTATATATTTTCTTTATCTATTTGTAATATTTTTAATGGGTAGTCATGCCAGTGTCATTTACTGTATGGCACAGTAGTATATTAAATGTTGAAAAGCTGCTAAGCATTTAAAATAGCTCTCCTGACAAGTTTAGATTTGTCACTTACAATGCTATCATATGCTTGTATCGATATGCAAAGTGTTGTTTCAAGTTTATGTAATGATTCGATGATCAAAGCTGAATGCAATGCCTTAAACAATTCCTGATACAAAACTAGGCAGACAAATAACTGTGGCCTTCGAAAAGAAATTGGCCATACCAAAATATCACAAAAAGCCAGAGAAATGAATTAATCAGTTCCTGCTCACAACACTGTTGACAATGCATGGATATTCAAAAATATTACAGAATCACCTACGATCCTAGAACATGTTACTAGCAAACTGCTGATGTTTCACAATATCGATAAACAGGTTGATTCAAAGGAAGAAAGCAAAAAATGTTTAGGATGTTGTAGTCGTAGAAATACGAGTATTTTCGGAAAGCCCCACTAATTACGAGTATTTTTTGAACGGCCCAAGTTAGCAAACTACAATTAGTGATGAAATTGATGCATGAATATCTTAATGTAAAAATAACAATTAAAAATGGTAGCTGGGCGCCGTTTTGTAACATTTTTTCAAATGGAATAGGAGGGCTTGTGATACATTGTTTTGAAGCTCTTGAAAAGTACTTTACAACCCTAGAATATAAAACTACCATCCTTCAAAATGACGAACTGGCAGTACTGAGAAATTTGAGCGTTATTGTACATTGAATCGTGTATAACTCAAAACAATATAGTATGTTCTTTTAGAAGAATATATGTGAATGTGCAATAAAATATGACACATTCATCAGTTGAAAAAAATGGACAGTTTTGACAAAGCTTTTAAATGGAATGTTTTATATTTTATTACATATTCGGATAGATCCTTCAAGAAAAAGAGATTGATATAAAGACGCCTAATTTTGACAGCTTGCCAGATCGCCATTGAAAGACAATGATTTCATATTCTAGGGTACCTAACGCACTTCGGGAGCTTCAAAATGAAGTATCATCCGCATTGCATTTAAATAAATGTTCCAAAATGATGCGCAGTCACCATCTTGAAATGTTTGATGCCAAATTTCAACTTGCAAGCCTGAGCTTTTAAAAAATAGGTAGTGACCTTTTCGAAAAGTACTATGTCCAAAGGTAATAGAAATACGACTAACACAACACCTCATGGAAATGTTTCGTTTATTGTCCAAATGTTTATTAGTGTACATTAATATCAATATATATTTTTAGATAGACCTTCAATGGATGATGATGAGTTGTGACCCCACAAGACCAGAGCGAGAAACATGTGGCGAGCTAACAGCTGTAAGTCAACAATCCTACATTCAATTTTTGGTAATTGACTATAGTTGCACAAACAGTCAGCTTATCCGATGTGTCATAGGTGCGAGCAACAAGACCGCCATCTTTGATTGGACCGCCCCCGCCTATTCCTCCATTCCCGGCACCAACACAGCCACCATGCCAAACGATATGTCCTCCAGGTTTACCAGGATTCAACGGGACTGACGTGAGTTGATATTATTATGTGCTTTGTACTTCGTAAACTAGTTAATAGATCGCGTTCACTAAAACGAACTAGCTCTAGAAACTGGTTGGCGAACGAACTTTTTACGCAACAATACCCTTGGCGGGTCAATGTAAGTCTACCAGTATCCCTTTATATATCTCCATCTCTCTCATACATACACATGCAACCTACCCCTCTGTGTTAACGTTTGTTCGGTAGTTAGATTATTGGGATTAGAAGATTTTTGAGAATTACGATTAGTAAATGATTTTAAATCGGTTTCCCTCTCCCTCAGTTAGAAAATTAAGATCCGCCCATGGTAGGGAGACTCGATCTGTTTACTTATTTTATATGGCGTTTATGACGTAACCGCCAAGAACTGTGACTACAACTACACGTAAACTGTCACTCACATAATAGATGTAGCTAACAATCTCAAAATGTGGGATGCATATTTGTTCTTTGTTTTCACCAGTTCCTAAGATGTTTGTATAATACATACATTTGATTAGGGTTGCTAGGTGTCCTCTTTTCGAGAGTATGGTCCTCCTTTTTAGTATCGCAGCCAAAAGTCAAGCGTAAAATGAACCGCAGAAGAAAACAGATCAGACCCTTAGAACCGTTTTGACCTTGAAATATAATGTTTTGCTGGAGTTCAAAATCCAGTCCCAGCAGGGAGTATCTAACTGGATTAATATTAATGAGCCGCTTTCACCTAGAACAGAGAATCCACGAAAGTAGTAGTAGGAAAAAGCAAAAGTCTGTCCTAGATCATTTGAGGTGGTTAAAAAACGTTTGTGTCTCCTAGCGACCTCTGTGCCATGTGAACCACTTATCAAACGATAGGCAAATCTTGTCAGAAGTATGAAATACAATAGAAGGCGATAATATCGAAAAAGGGTTTTTTTAAATGTAAAGTAATTAATTTACACTTTCATTTTAATATTGTTTTGATCTCATTAGCCTCAATGGGTCATATGTGGTAAAAGATGGCAAATTCTAATGTCTTTAAGCCTTCATACCCACGGCATTGGTTATTATATTTTCTAATAACTTCGTTGTGTCTTGCTCGATCTTCTTGAACTAAATAAACCACGATCGAATGCAGGCAACCAGTTATACAATAATCAGCTAACTTGGCTGCCTACGAAGGTGTCCTACCATCTATATCGTTCTCATTGGTTCACTCTCAACCAGTTCGCGTGGATCATCGGGATATTGGACGAGATATTCGAGGAATGAGAATCGTTCGCTTGACCTAGTTCGTTTGCGAACCACACATCGCTGAAATCTATATTACTCATTTTTCTAGAAATGAAATTGTCAGTGTCAAGTGAACACTCTGGGCCCATGGAATCTATTGCTTTACATTTTATGGATACCAAAGTATCACATGACCTAAATTCTTGTTATAAAAATGAAGCTTTCGCTTTCATTCTATCTTGAGTGAAAAACAATGAACACGTCAACTTGTCTATTTTCAACACTTATCCTCACCAATTTATTTTCTAAAGGCGGTATATAAATGAACAAAGCCACTTTGAAAGATATAGAAAGCTGAAAAGTGATTTCTGACAGGCGAACAATTAAAATGCCGTACCATCGCAATTGATTCGTTTCTCTTTTAATCGAGTCTTGTTACATTATATAATTAGGCCGCAATCTTTATTAATAGATTGAGCATGAGTGTGAAATTAAATGTAATGATATCATCTGCATAATTGCGGATCCTACGGGGTGATACATTCGTAAATTATGAGAACAGATTTTATAAAGCAGTAGACGTGTCATCCATTGACAATGTCAACTTTGTGCTCGACGTGGCATTTTCCAAATTTTCTATTTCAATACAATAAAAATAATCCAGAAAACATATTCTGAGCGTTTTTCTGTGAGCATGAAGTGGCAAAGCGTGCACTCCGAAAGACCAAAACCTATGAAACCTATACAGGGAAAACCAAATTTGTCTGAAGGCTTGAGTTCAATGTGTACGAAAGAGACGCGCGAGAAGGTCGTATTAATGATACACCAGACAATGTTCCCACAAGGTTACTGGTAAACCCACTTAGTTATAAAATCAACGCATCCTGCCTGCGTGTGCGCAGAAGAAAACCATCGCGACGTCACTTCCCAATCATCGCCAGATGGGTACTGACCAAAATCGCTCATCTATGATCATGGAGGTGGAAACCTTGCCTTGGAATGTACGACAGGTGTTTCCAAGCGAACCAATGATGCCATGCTGCCGAATTTGTTGCGAACCTGACCTTTCATTACTACCTAAAATGTGTACGCTCAAAATAAAACCATTATTTGGCCGTAGATAATAAACTAACGCGTATTTTTAACATGCATCTTAATTCAAGGAACTAGTGTAGCATATGGACAACGCGGAAGATTGCCGCGTCAGCATTGCTAGGCAACGCGGTAATGAACTTCGCCATAAAAATGAGAAAAAAAGCATCCCAAAACTGGACGCCTGACTGAGGGCGCAATAATCGAAGATAGTACCAGCTGTATCTGAGGTTATAGTACAAGATCCGCTTAAATCTGCAGGCATCTATCTTTTTAATAAAACTTAGGGGAATCCCCTGACGCTTTTTAAGAGCCCCTCCAGGACGACTCCCGGGCATCCTCTAAACTAGGACCAATCCGGGAAATCCCGGACGAATGGCAACTCTAAGAGCCGTGTTACAATTATTCTAGGACCCCTTTGTGGCCTCCTTGATTTCCCTAGCCTTTTCTCTCCTACAGAAACGCAGGGGTATTTCTAGATTTCTACTGTTCCGGGTCACCGTCAGCGTTCTCCTATTGTGAGATTACGTTTTCTTTTTGAAATTTATGGAATTTCAGGCTGATAAAACAGATAATAAAAATCAAAATCATGAACAATTTGATGCAAATATATATTTATAACATAACTTCTAAATATATAGCTTTGACACGGAACAGTAGAAATCTTGAAATACCTCTGAATTTCTGAAGAACAGGAAATACTATGAACGACTGATGATACGGCCCTAAATGATAGGTAATAACAGACAGCAGGGGTGACATCATCGTAACTATAGATCTGTTGACGCGAAAAAAATTATATGTTATCAAACCAAACTCAGTAATATTTTCAAATATATACTTGTAAATTGGAAATTCTGATTGCAGGGTATTCCTGGATTACCAGGACTACCAGGACCTCCAGGAGCTGATGGAAAAATGGGATATCCCGGACTTATAGGAGAAAGTGGACCATCTGGTCCTCCTGGACATCCGGTATGATACGTTTATAATTTATACAATCATTCGAATGCCATATTTTTATTATCTAGGGCCCCAGCGGTATAGCAGGCCCTCCAGGCCCAATGGGCTTGCCAGGAATGGATGGTAGGCATGGACCCCCAGGCCTGCCAGGGCCTCCGGGGACTTGCGATGAACATACACACAATATTGTACATGAGAAAAACACCGTTGGACTGTACGGACCCCGAGGATACCCTGGTCCTCCAGGATTGGTGAGTACATGTTTCAGTCAATGAAAGTAATTTTTCATAACATTTTTTAATACTTGGAGCGTCACAAAGACCTGAGGTCTACACACTACTGGGTACCGTGGGGGTATACGGGATACAGGGGAAAAGGAAGGAAGCCACAAGCACCCTAGCGAGGGAACATGTGTGCATGCAAGATGGACAAATTCTGGCCCCGCCTTAGAGATCCGCCAGGTAGTACCTCCACGTTCGACAATCAGATACCGTCTACCGCCTACAAGTTCATAGTTGTAAAAAGATGAACGTTGAAAGTCGTCAAAGATTCAGAATACATACACAGTCAACTGTATGTTTCAAATGGTTTTGCCAATCTTACCCACGAAACACCTCTAAGGTACCTTCAGTATTTACTGACCATTCCGTCACTGTCAGTGAATTTCTACGTAACCTTATACATGAATAACTAGTGGCTTCCTAATTATATCGACAATAAATATTACATTTATGATAATTATTACCAACGGATCACAGTAAATAGTGATCGTGCGACATTCTCCATAACTTCTCTTTAGCAGCCACGTGTAGGCAGCAGCCGAAATACCAGGGCACCGTGGTTGGTATGAGGATCTTAGTTAATCCTATTTTTGACTTGTCTTAGGTTAGTAGAATTAGGAAAACCACGTTGAGGCAGACTGCTCCACAATCTCGATACCCTAGGGACAAAAGAGCGGTCGTATCGGCGAGTTCTGGATATAAGTCCGACACTGTTAGAATTGGATGCCGAAATCAAGCGGGTCTGGTTGACAGGCCCTTTGAGACAGCGACATAAAATAAATGTCCGACGGCTGTTGAACAGCATCGAGCTTGGATAATATAGTCAGCAGCACCCCAAACATGTGAGCGGTACTCGAGGCTAGGTCTCATCTAGACTTATTATACTGAGTGAGGAGGTTATCACCACCAGGCCTCTCGCCAATAATCTTTTCTCCAGCTCAACTGGTTACTTTAAGGCGGATGAAATGGCCTTGAAGTGATACTTAGACCCTAATGTCAAAGTTAACGTTCTAGGGACCAGCCTGTATTTGTCATTGCCACCTCCAAAGGCAACAACAATATCAAACTCAAGATAATCATGAATTATTATTCAAACATTTTTAATCCAATTGAAATACAAATCGGTAAATATTTCAGCCAGGGGAACGAGGTGCTGCAGGTGAAAGAGGTCCTGAAGGTTCAGTGGGACCACCAGGCATTCCTGGTAAAGATGGCGCTCCTGGAGTGCCTGGATCTCCAGGACAAGGGGGGCAACCTGGATTGCCTGGAATGCCCGGGCCACCGGTAAGTGTTGTATTCTCACTGATAGTAGTAGTAGTATAGGTAGTTCAAGGAGCTCTAATTTGATTGTATGTAAAGAAACTCAGGTTCGCTTATTTTCTCAACGGGCGTGCACCTTTAGGGATGAAAGATGAATCACACCTCCAGTTTCGCTGTAGTACCTTATTTGTTATTGATGGTAATATACAAATACATGTATAGCACTCCACGTCGAAATTTTGATGACACAACCACGCAAACCTTTTTTTTAGGTTCTTCAAAAGGGAATAAGTAAAAGCGGTAAACACGCCGGGGTATTATATAAAAATCCCAAAAAACGTCAAAAAAAACAACAAAATGTCATCTGGGGTGTTTTTAGTGTGCAATAGTTGTTACTTGTAATATACTTCACCCACCAGGGATTTTCTTTTCTTATCTCTCTCATTCAGTGAATTTGCATATGTCATTTCCAGAATGAATATGAAAACGTGGATGCGCAACTAACACTGATTATTAGCACACAAACACAACTCCTCACTGTGCACCTATGCACTGCCGTTTCCTTCCAGCTCTAGTATACAACTTACAGCTTAGACCTCTATCAATGCCATCTCCGAAGATGTTATATGACATCAGAGCCAAACATTGATAGCTGAAGCGTCATGGCGTTTAGGCAACACGTACAGCTGCAAAACGAGTTCACAAGTGTACAACAGCAAGTGCTAAGTTGACACCTGCTAGAAAAACCTACGTTACATCACAAAAAACCAACCTTCACATTGTGGTATAAAATGGCTAGAAGACCTCGAATTTCCAAGGAGTCATCTAACCACAACCACGCGGCCGGTTATAGCCACTTGCTGTGGTACTTTAATTTGTCTAATTCTTTCGTTCCCAACATGTTCTAGTCTGGGAATTCTGCAACTTCTTCTCCAGTAATTCATTTCCAGGGACATCAACCTCTCTTTATTTCTTTTCGTTATTTCCCATATTTCTGAGCCATAGGTACAGATACTTTCTACTATAGCTTTGAATATCAATTTCTTTGTTTTGTTTGTCACAAAAAACGACAAAACGTCACTTTTCAAGATAGGTAACACCCATGGCCCATGCCGGACCGTTTTTTATCTGTGGACATAGCACTTCTCAATCACTGTCAGTATCAAAGTATTGAGAAGTGAAGCGTGCTTGACATACGTGCTTTTCGACTCAATTCTAGACAGCGATGTGACTTATGTAAGATACAAGTATCCGAAATACAAATATAAGATAGAAAGCACGTATTTTCATCTTGTAACTAAGATACTTTTTTAGAATTGTATTTGTATCTTGTATTTAGATACCATTTGTTTGGTATCTTGCTATCTGGTAAATACTGAGTCATTATCTATGAGTCAAGAGACCGTTTTAGAGTGAATCCATTTTTTTTTACTGCGAGGCGTTAGTATAAAAAATGTAATATTTTCGGATTTTTTATGACGTCTTCATCCTGAAAATAGTAGTGTATAAATTCTTAGTTTTTACCATTACTCCTTAATTTCTCGTAATCTCTTGACTACACGACACATTTTTATAAAAGCAAAATTATGAAAAGCCTGATTCTTTTTTTTACACCGAAGCAGCCGCCAAGGCAGAAGCCAGGACACCGCGGCTGCTTTGAACAGTTTAAAGAAGCATTATTAATCCGATTTTTGAACTGCTTAGGGTTAGTAGAATTAGTAGATTATCCCACAATCTCGGCACCCTAGGACCAAGGAGGGGTCGTATTGGCCAGTTCTGAATGTACGAAGCACGACACAAAAATTGTTTCCACCACACAAGAAGCTGCATTACACAAAGCTGTTGGATACAGTTGATAACTTTGATCGGAATGCCATCAGAAGCAAAGTCTATCAATTTTTTGAAAGGCAGGAACTTCCCACCATAGACCAAATATTCTGGAGGTTATTAGTTATGAAGACTTACCTACTTTCAAAAGAACCACATTCTGTAGTTTACTCAAAGAACTTCATTTCGAGTGTAGAAAACGGGACAGAAATACTATTTTATGGAGAATAAATTATTTAAAATCAACAAAGAAATATCGCGACCAGGGCAGGAAGATTTATTACTTGGATGAAACCTGGATAAATGCAGGACATACAAAACTTAAAGTATGGACTGACTCTACAATTAAATCGGCAAGACAAGCCTTCTTAGATGGCCTAAAGAATCCGTCAGGTACGTGTATCTAACCAATTCGTCATTCGTGTTGTAAATATGATGTCAAGTAGACTAAATCTAAGAGTCCACGCTGAAAACTTAGCCACGCTAAACTCAGCTATATCTGGTAGATTTGGAACCAACACCTGTTAGATACCCTGCTTGTATTATTTTTAGTATTTTTGAATACTATATGAAATCATTATTTCCAGGAAAAGGAAAACGATTTGTTATTTACCACATTGGCAGTGAAGATGACTTTGTGCCCAGCGCCCTATCGGCATTTGAGTCAAACAAAACGACCGACTACCATGAAGAAATGGACGGTAGTTGATTCGAATGATGGTTTGAAGAAACGTTCCCAAAGCTTGACGATAATGCCGTAATTGTACTTGATAATGCTGCATACCACACTAGAAAAAATTACCACAATGTCCACAAGACAGAAATTCAACAATGGCGCCTATCAAGACATTAGTTTCAATGAAAATATGGACAAAGTAGAACTTATCCATCTCGTCAGGCAGCACAAACATAAATATAATCTTTTAATGTTATTTACGAAATGGCTAAAAAAACAAAATAAGACCGTTTTAAGGATACCCCCTTATCAGTGCGAATTAAATCCCATTGAAATGATTTGAGCAAATATAAAAAACTATGTGGCTTGAAACAACCGAACATTCAAATTTTCAGACGTGAAAAATTTGTTTTATGAGACTGTGAACCATTTGAATGATTGCATCCGTCACGTTCAAAAAACAATCGAAACAAAGATGTGGGATCTGGACAATATGATTGATATTCAAATTGGACCTGTAATAATTAGTATTAACCATTCAGATGATGATTCAAGTACTTCCAGCGAGTAAAGAATTGTAAAAAGTATGTGCTCTTCTTTCTATAAAAATAATCATTTACAGTGAAAGCTCCCATAAGCGGACACTCACGGTTCCGTAACTTTTGTCCGCTTATGGGAGGTGTCCGTTTAAAAGAGAGTATGTAAGTATAGAGTATAAATAACGGGGTATATAATCATGAGGAAATGAGGTATTATAATCATGAGAAAAATGAAACAGAAACTCGCCACATTTTTAAAGTATGTATTTATGCTATATATCTATATAATATATGTACATATACGCATACAAAAACATAAATGCTTCAATACATGGTACGAGAATTTAAAAAAACATTATTCTTTAGCTTGTTGAAAAAAGTTTAAAATGTTTGTCTGACGAAATTTCACCGTCTTTTGCTGAAGGAGACAATTTTCGTAATAACTTTCTAAATTTTTCAAATGTTGAAATGCAGTGAAATCATCTTTAGCAAATTTTTTCAATATAGAAATATGATTTAGAGCTTCCCCATATGAATTTATCGTTTTTGAACCGCTTAGTGAGTCCACCAGTTCCACTTCTTCTTCTGAGTCGTTTGGACTACCATATTCAAGTTGGCCTGGGCTTTCTACATCCAAATTCGAAAAGTTGCCAATGGCATTTTCTTCTGTTGTTATGTTATTGTCTATGGCCAGGAAATCATCTACTTTCTGGTGATCTGCTACTCCTAAATGTTTGGCATGTCGCAGTAACTGAGCAAGTGTCGCTAAGGGCAGATCGTCTTCAGCATCGCAATAATTTTGCTCAGCAAATTCTGAGCTACATTCACTTTTTCTGAATCCAGCTTTGCCAAAACAGTTTTTAATTGTAGAGGAATTTACTTTATTCCATGCTGTTTTTATAAAATACAAAGCTTCTAACACATTGATAGACTTTGTAAGCTCAGATAAGCTTTGACCATCGTCAATTTTTGTTAAAATATGTATTAAAATCAAGTGCCGATAATAAAATTTAAAGTTCTGTATGACACCTTGATCCATGGGCTGACAAACAGAAGTTGTGTTTGGCGGTAAAAATATAATTTTCACATTTTTCATTTTCATATCACGAGGATGAGAGCATGCATTGTCTAAAAATAAAAGAACTTGCCTTTTTTGGATTCTCATTTTCCGGTCGAATTCGACTAACCACTCAGACATGATTTCTCGGGTCATCCATGCCTTTTTGTTGGATTTCCAAGTCGCTGGTAGATCCTTAATAGCAACGTTTTTTAAAGCACGGGGACGAGCCGCTTTCCCGATCACAATCAAATCGCATTTTTCACCGGCCATATTTGCACAGAATAAAATGGTTAGTCTATCTTTAGACAACTTTCCACCCGCACATGTTTCTCCTTTAAAGGACAGAGTTTTGTCGGGCAATGCGCGAAAAAAAAGTCCACTCTCATCTGCGTTGTACACATCTTCTGGTTTGTAGCCAAGCAACATGGACGGAAGTTTCTCCAAAAATTGTGACACATCAACTTGATCTACTGCAGCAGCTTCGCCAGATATGCATTTGAAACTCACACTATGTCTCTTGCGCCACTTTTGCAGCCACCCGTCGGATGCACTGAAATTATTATAGCCCAAAGTAGTGGCGATTTCTTTAGCTTTCATTTTCACTAACGGCCCTGAGATTGGAATGTTCTGACTTCTAGCTTTCACAAACCACTCAAAACATGTTTTGTCTATAGCAAAACCTTCCTTTTTTAAAAAATCCTTCTTTTGATTTATATTAGTTCCTGATTGCCATTTACTCCTGATATCTTCCTTATTTTTGGCAATTTCAGCTGCTTGCGTTTTCCCAATATTAAACCTCTTTGCTAAATGACGAACTGAAACACTTTCTCTGTCTAATACGTTAACAACTTCCATCTTTTCCTTTAACGAGAGCATCCTTTTTTTTGGTGCCATTTTACAGTTACAATAATAAAATTCGTAACTCAATCAACTACGAATTTGCCTGAACTGAAGACAAGCCACAAGATTACATACAGGCTACCCAACGAAATGCGTAAATGGGGAATCACCTAATATAAATCGGGGAATTACCGAATTTTATGTATGTAGATATGTGCATTGCAATAAGCGGAACTAAAAAATCGTCCGGGTATTAGAGTTTCGCGTCCGCTTTTGGGAGATTTTTTGATCACATACAGGAAAATCTAATGTCCGCGTCCGTTTATAAGAGCGTCCGTTTATCGGAATGCATTTAACATTGAAAATTGATGGCTGAAATTCGGTTCCAGGAACTTTGTCCGGTTAAAAGAGATGTCCGCTTATAGGAGCTGTCCGCAAGTAGATCTTTCACTGTATTTTGTTAGATTATTCCAAGACCATTGAGGAAAATACGGACCTGTACAATCTCGCTTTTGGGCGTGTCGTGTTTTGTCTGGGCGTAAATGGACTAAGTGCGGACAATATATTTTTTTGTTAAACCTGCCCGAAATCGAACGTGAAATGTAGAACTTGTTGCATAATGGATTTTAAAAGAATCTATAGTGAATTTGGGATATAATTTAATTAACACTGAAATGAACATTTTGATTTTTATTTATCATATCTGATTCAGTTTTGCTACAAAATAAGTATTACCTAAAACAAACTTTTTATTGTATCTAGATCGATTATGTTATTTGCTAATCAGTACATTTTCCACTCAATTACGTCGAAACAGCTCAGTTTTCTGTTGATTCATAGCTATAAAAGTTATCACAGCTTCCACCTCGAGATGTCAAAACAATTTGTCTAAATTAAGAAGTTTTACTTAATACAAAAACGACTCTATAAAATATCGTCGACTACAATATACAAATAAAAGGATAAAATACAGATACAAAATACACCACGAGTATAAAATAAAACAGATAAAATTCACTTCGCGTCATTTTTTTGTACCCGCCAACTTTCTAATCAGCGGGCCATTCAACTGTGAAATCTGACTGATCTTCATGTAAGCTGTCGCAGAGTACTTTTTCTTAACTTGCGTGAACAAGGAGCTGTCCACTTTGGCCACAATGCTCGCTAGCTCTATCATCGCATTCCTGAAATCTTTGTACTGGTATGTAGTGTAATGCACCATGGCCGGCGACCAGATCTTCGGCAACTCCATGACTTCCTCCATGACCCCTTTGGCCAAGCAGCAAGCCGCGGCTGCTAACAGCGAAGGTTTCACCGCGCTCATGGTGTGCTCCAGAAGTGCAAGTTCCAAGAAATACTTCGATAAAGCGTAGTGCTCAGCCTTTGCGCGAATCACTTTGCTATAACGTTTGAGAAACTGTATCGCGGGAGGGTAGCCAAGGTTAAATTCCAGTCTTTTTAAAATGTCTATCTCCATTTGGAGGATCTGTCTGGAGGTGAAAGCACCGTCGCATATATATTCGAAGTCGGAAAGGGAGGGCAGATACATTTCTTCGTATTTGGATGCTATAAGTAAAGCTGATGTGCCTGGAAACAAAACACTGTAACAATTAAGGATGAAATCATGATACTAATACTAAAAGTTTCGGTACCAAATTCATTTTAATAAATGGAAAATAATATCAAGTTGTCTTTGTAAACAAAAGTTTGTTTAATTTATTGTCAGTTAACATCTATTTATTTTGAAGTTTTCACTTTAAGATGTCATATAAATTAGAAATATCACTTAGATCAGAAAGTTCCCGGAATGATCGTCATGTGGCGCTCGTAGCACTCGGCTGTCAATTCTGTTTGTCTTGTTATGGTGCCCAATTTTCATTGATATTCCCCCCGAATTTTGGCGTCATTTCATTATCAGTTGTCAAAGCTACGTCTAGTTGAGTTCATGTACCTTTGAGCATGTTCACGATTTATTAGGATTTTTAAAATGGATCTGAATGAACAACGCGTTTGCATTAAATTTGGTGTTAGAAACAATATCAACGGTACGCAAACATTGGAAATGCTTCGGCAACGGCGCTTTGAAGAAAATAGCGGTTTTCGACGGGTCACATAAGGTCGTCAGTCAAGCGCCGATGAGGAGCGCAGCGACAGGCCATCGACATGGAAAACCAAACAAAACTTAGACGAAGTGAAGAAAATGTTGGCCACCAACGGCAAATTAGCTATCAGAGAGACGGCAGAGCACTTGAGCATTGCTTATGGAACCGTTCAAAGCACTTTGGTCAACGACTTGGATCTCTGTCGTGTTGCAGCCAAGTTGGTGCCAAAAGACTTGAATTTCATGCCATAAAATGACCGGATTGAATGATGCGCGCCGGATGCTGCCGAGACCGAAGAAACCGCGTCGTTTCCAGTCGAAAAAGAAGGTAACGGTTTTCATGGATTACTACGGCCTGGTGCATAGTGAATTCTTGCCAGAAGGTCAGACTCTCAACAAGGAGTACTATTTGGGTGTTTTGAGATGTTTGCGTGAATCAATCCGTCAAAAGCTCAAGCATTTGTGGGCAAACAACTCGTGAATCTTGCGCCACGATAACGCACCATCGCGCAATGCCATCATCGTCCCTGAGTTTTCGGCCAAAAATAACACGAATGCCATCCAACAACCACCCAATTCACCTGATTTGGCACCCTGTGACTTCTTGTTGAATCGAATCCAAAAGCCACTGAGAGGAGCCCGTTTCAGCAGCCGAGAGGAGCCCGTTTCAGCAGCCGAGAGGAGATAATGGAAAAATCGAAGATGGCCCTAATAGAGATACTTAACATCCGAGTTTAAAAAATGCTTCGAGGACTGGATCAAGCGTTGGCATACGTGCATTGCAGTCAATGGGGACTGCTTTGAAGGGGACAGTATCGATTTTGAATAATAAACTTGTATTGTTTATTTTTTCAATCAATTCCGGGAACTTTTTGATCAAGGTGGTAAGAAAAAGTATCTACTAGTTGGTTGGGCGGGTACCCAAAGCTGAAATCTGTAGAATATTCCCGAATGAAAACATTTCAGGCGGAACTATTTATCGAACAATAGTGGAGTGCGAGCAGGGAATACCATGAATCTCCCAAAAAGTGGAAGACCACGTGCATTTACGGCACAGAGGTCAGAGAAATTTGTGATAAGAGCAAAAAATCAGGTTGGAAAATCAACAAGGAGACTGGCTCGCCAATACAGATCTTCCAAGAGTACAATATCGTTGGAATTGAGAAATGGTCTTAAACATAGAAAAGGATTTATGTGCCCCAAATACTCTCAAGCGCAACTCCTGCTGTCAACTGAGACGGGTACACTTTTCCAATCGAAAAATCACTATTTTAGATGACGAAAAGTATTTCACTTTTAGTAATTCTGAAATGAAGGGAAACGACGGATTTTACACGGACAACGTGGCGTAATTCTGTGGTGAATCATGGCGAAGGAAAGTCGATCTTTCTGTCAATGCTGGAAAGACCGAGCTGATTCTATTCACTAGGAGAAGATGGCTTGACGGGCTTGTCTCGCCAACCTTCTCTGGGAATAGATAAGTCCTATCCCAATCAGTAAAATATCTAGGAATTATCCTGGACTGCAACTGAACTGTTGAATACAAGGTTAACAAAGCTCGCCCTATAGACGTGTTGTCGGTGTAAGTTGGGGGCTTAAACCCAAAGTGGTACACTGGCTCTACACGACGAGAGTACGTCCATCTCTCTTGTACGCCTCCCTGGTCTGGTGGCCTTGCGTTAGGACTGAGACAACTAAGGTCAAACTCAATAAAATTCAACGTTTGTCATTTATTAGCATTACAAGCGCAGTACTTACAACTCCACTGAGTGCAATGGAAGTTCTGCTGGATCTCCCACTGTTGGATCTAGTGATCCGGGGTGAAGCGAGAGTGGTCAAGGGAATACTGCCATCTTAGTCGAACTTCAAAGAGAGGACCCCGTCCTTCTAAACAGGAGTGATTTCATTGCCCCTAAATATCGCTTCAACAGCAAGTTTAATGTGGAGTATCCAATGAGAGAGGAGTGGGACGCCGGTAGCCGGAGACTCTCCGGAGTGAGCAGGCAGGTCTGGTACACGGACGGCTCGGTCACCGAAAAAAGCTCTTTGGCTGGAGTCTCTGGGACTAGAACTAGGCTATCTCTGCCTCTCGGTGGATACACCACTATTTTCCAGGCGCAAATCTTTGCGATTCTGGCTTGTGTATCTCGCATTCTGGAGGAGGGTGGGCCTAGGAGAAGAATAACAATCTTATCCGACAGCCAGGCTGCAATGACGGCACTATGTGTCTGTAAGATTACTTCGAGCCTTGTATTGCAAAGGAGCAATGAGACGGAGCACGCTCTGGCGAAGCCAGGATCAGCCAGCAAGCTCGTTGGTCCTGAGCCAGCTTTAGAAGTGCCCGCGCAGAGTTAGGAGGAAAATGGAGATCAGGATTGCAAGACAACACTCTCATGAAATGAGGAAGTATCTCCATAAATCTCATTGTAACACGTTAAAGAGCCACCTGCACGTGATGGGGGTGTCTGATGATCCCTTGTGTGAGCGCTACGGAGTAGAGAAAGAGACCTCGGCGCACGTTCTCTATTGCTGTGAAGCACTGAGCTACTATAGGCAGCCTATACTGGGGTCCATTACTTTCAACCCTCAGGAGCTTGGACTCAAGATCATACTCAACTTCGAGCCTCGCTAGAAACGCGAGGCTCGAGATCTAAGGAATGTAGAGGTGCATAATGGCCCGTTTAAGCGGCCTATGCACTGGCTCTTTATGGTGGCGGGTATGCCTCTAATTTCACGATTCGTTCATTCATTCAATTCTGAAATAAAGGGAAGCTATGGATTTTATACGGACAACGTAAAGGACTGACAATGTTAGAAGCAAACATAAAGCGCAATTTGCAGATAAAATCCTTGTCTGGTGCGCAATTTCTAACAGTGGTGTATGACCATATCACGTTTTGGTCAGGCCTAGCATCATGCCATTACTCAAGAGATACCCAAAACTGGCTTTGACAATACAACATACCTTTTGTTCCCAAAAACGATAATCGTCAAAACTTGTCGCAGGCTCGCCCAATAGAGGATTTTTGGGCTGTACTAAACAATTAAGATGGCGAATTTACGAAAGCCACAAAGAAATTGATCTGAATTCTGTCCAGGACCTCCTGAGAGACATTCGAAGAAAGTTGCATCTGGCAGAGCAGAATGGGACACTCCACATAATTCGATAGTAGACTTTATAGGTATATATATAGTGTTTAAATAAATTTAAAAAAAATGCGATATTTTGTGCCAAAACTTGTAAGACATACCTACGTTATTATTCGAAAAGATAAACCCACGCGCATACAATCAATCTCTTTCGCACGCGATGCGTCACTCGGTGACAAAAATCCCCAGAGTCGGATAACAAACGTCAGTTTGACACGACGCTTTAGCACGTAATTTGTGATTAGTTTCGTTAGTGTGTCATCTGGTGTGTTTCAAATAAGTCTCTGTGTGAGATATAATTAAAAAAACTGAATTTATCTACGGTGTGCTGTGCAGTGGTGGGTTATTTAAGCAACAATGCTTTTTTTGTAATAACAAATTAACAGTTACGGTAAATTGGCGGTCTAACGTGTTTTCATCCACCACAATTTTTTTTTGACCACAGTCACCAATAATTCATAACTGTTTGAATATACGCGAAAAAATGATTTTCCCAACTTTGACGTTTGATAAAAAAGTGAATAATTCTTCTTTGTATTCCTTATCATGTATCTTCGAGGATATAATGCTGGTGTAAACCTGCTCATTACATTTTGTCTGCAACAGGGTCAATTTTTTGCTAGTCAGCTTGGAATATTATGGATCTGCTTAGAAGGCAGCACAATGTTGGCTTTGGACTGAAAATGGAAATACTTCATTTAACACTGGTAGTGAAATCAAATCCAGTCCACTTAATATGATTGCCACCGCTAAACATCACCTCAAACTTAATGTTAATAATAATCATTCAATAACATTGGGATTGATGGTCTGAGTTACTAGTGGCTTGATATGAATCTTAAAAATTTGAACAATGTTTACCTATATTTCCCTATTGACTAAGTTTCTTAATTGAAAAGTGCACATGCTTACCCACAAGCTGCAATGTGCTTCTCCCTACAAGTGTGTTGATCTGCAGGTACCTATCAACGATTGAGATGCAGAGGTACAATGTTTCTGGCTTCTGCTCAAAATCTGCATGTATCTCCACCAGCCAGTTCACTAGAACCGAACGCATGTTCGGCGTGGTCCTGTGATTCTCTAGAAAATCCTCGCGAATTGCGTATTTCGTTTCTAAGTCTCGCAAATGGGCGAAGATTTCTGTCAGGTACTCGGTTACCTAAAGCAAAAAGAAGTCATGTACAGGGTTGCAATCACTGAACATCCCATCGAAAGGCAGGCCTCAACGGCAAATGCGCGCTATTGTTTCAACAAATTAATCATGGCAGCTGTAGATCACCCCTGGGGTATTTTGCATGTTCAATAAGTTCCTCAATATTTTCATCTTTGTAAAATGTTTTTTTATAAAACTTCTCAATCTTCTCATCCCAATCTCAGAAACTATATCAAAGGTATAACAAAATCATTTTCTCCTTAGAAGGATACTTACTTGTAGAGGATCATCTTTGTTAGACCTATCAGGATCTTCGACTGGTGTGCCTGTCTTCTTCTGACTCAGGGCTGGTATTTGAGATACTCTGTGACCTGGCAATTGAGAAACTTTGTTCTCTTCTTTCTTCAGTATGACTACTTTTGGCTCAGGCTTTGTTTCCTTTTTGACGACTTGTGCCTTAAAGAATAATTATTTATATCATCAATAAAACTGTATCAACTTAAAGGTTAGAGGTACTCCATAGTTTTTCAAATTAAGACTTGTCACAGTTCTGAGAAAGCAAGGGATCTAAAGATAGTTGAGTGATACTCAAAACAAATCAATAAGAGAATCAGAAATAAGTATGAAAGTTGATAATTTACAAAGCAATATGCAGGCATATCAGGTAATTCTTCTTCCATATATATTACACCTTATATATACTTTCTCATTCAACTGATATTATTTGCAAAATGGCATTTTCTAGATTGATCAATGACAAATACATTTAAAAATTAATATACCTCTTTAAGACCATGTGCGAAATTGTCACACTTTTTCAAGTCCTTGTTTACATGGGCTGTAGCTTGGGTATTTATAGACAGGCCAGTCAACGCAGTTCTTTGTGAAGCTGTGTGCATTTTGACCTGTGGTTTTATAAGCCCCTTGGAGTGGAGGTTTTCTTTAGTTTCTTGGATTGTTGCTTGTCTTATAGCAGCCATGATCTGTAAAAAATAGTTGCTTTAAATAATGATTTTGAATGAACCAAAATGATTGAATCTACATTTATTCTTTTGAGAACCTAAGTATAGGGCTTAATATCTTTCGTTATTAGGGTTCCTACAGGCAACTATCCCAGAACTGATCCCAATTACCAGTAGCCACCTGAATGCAGCACCAGAAAGTTTCTGGGGTAGTTCATAGTAGAAACAAGATAATGCTTACGATGACAGGTTCTCAGAGCAACTTATGTAATAACAAGCAATGGCAAATGAATAAATGCTTAACCATCTGGGCTTCACTAAACTTATATTTGTCACAAAAGGGAGGCGGTAGAAATGTGGACCTTTACCTTTAAAATAATCAGTTGAAATATTTTGATATGAGTAATTTTTAGAAAATGCTTATTTTCTAATTTGGGTTATCAAGCGAAATTTAGAAGCTTGTTCTACCATAAGTTTATTATTAGCCAACTGCCTAAGAAGGAAGGTTGTTTTTCGCGCGTAGGACCAATGGATGATGGATATTGAGACACAATGTATTTGAATTAAAATATGAAATTAAAATTACAGGTTTTGATTGAAAATTTCAAGTTTAAAGTTTCTATTTCAGTCATGGCTGGATGCATTTTGACATAGTAGATGTATCTAGATTTGTCTTAAAATGAGAGTAACACTAGGTATATTAAAATTTCATAAAATCAAATTAGGGGATGCTCAATGGAAATTTCTACTTTAAAATTTCAATTTCATGGGCTACAGCTCAAACGTTTTAATGAAGTTCAGTGCCCCATCAGTCTGAAATAGATAAGGTCATTTTGTTCAGTTTTAGTAGTAGTAGTAGTAGTACTTCATAGGTTTGCTATGAGAGAATATCCATTTTACATTTGAAATCTGAAGTTTCTGAGGTGAATGTTATATACTGACAATTCCATTAGTCAATGGATTTCTTCAAAACCTAACACATATTACTGACATGCAGGCTACAGTCAATAAATATCACATTCCATAGTAAATACTGATAATAATAATAATAAATAATAATAATAATAGCTTTATTACCCAACAGCATTTACAGGGTAATTAAGAGAAATTAGAAATGATTATAAGAAATTTAATTACAGATGCTCCAATGTGCAAATGAAAGTATCACAGTAAGGAGATATCCTGCTGATGGGGCACAGTGAATGCAGATTGTCTTCATTCGCCTAAGAGTATTATGATGCAGTTGAATTATTTTCATATTTTTGTTTGTGGATAATATATACTTATAGCACTAGTATCTGATAATAGCAAACTAATAGTTTTAAAATGTTATGATATTCATACATATTTATTTCTTTATTTATATTCACTTTCAACTCTTCGATTTTACTTGTTTTAACCCAGTTACCTTAACTAGAACTGAAGATTCAAACCAATTAGATAAAAGTTCAAATATGTGATTTTTTAAACATGAAAAAATAGCAACACAATGCTGAGGAAAAAATAGTTCAAAACAACATGCTGAAATGTAGGATTGCATGAGTTCAGCATTAATTTTCCAACCAGATACCCGGATTTCGACAATCCTCTGTATTGTTTAAACTTTTTCTAAATCTAAAAAAAATTATGAACCATTCTACAACTACAAGTCAAAAATAATTTGCTGAAACAATAAGGAAGTGTTAATGTAATATCTAGACATAGATAATGCGGATACTTCACATTAAAAATAAGATATCGAAGAATATTCTCAGAATTTAAAAGGACGTTTAAATGGCCGATGACCGTTACAACCAACAGGAAAAACACGTCACAATTTCGCCAATAAACTACACAAATTGGGCGATTTGGGTTAATCCAAATCATAAAACTATAAAAGAGTGTTGGTACTTACGCCTTTCCAGTCACAAAATTTGTATATAAACTAATAAAAAGCTCAAAAATTGCCAGTAAAACTCAAGTCACCACGACACTGTCAACCGCCAGCCGCCTGCATCAATTTCAAACAGAGAATGGGCGTTTGGGATTGGTCGGCAGCTAATCGATAATCGTGACGCAGCGAAGCAACGTTGTCAGATCCAATATTTTATCACTATATCTGCGGCCAAACTAACAAATGGATGTTCGAATGTTCAGTAATTTTTGGATAGAACCCCATTGAGCGACAGGACATAAAAAGCCTCTGAAATTTCGAGAAAATCGGTAAACTGTTAACTTGTACACTAGGTAGCCGCTGGTGTGCTGGTTCATTCCGCGCCTTCTAATACAAGCGAGCATGAATGTTAGTGAATGTCAGCTAGTTCAAAGGTGACATTTCATAGGAAAACCTACAAGATGTCATAAAAAACTGTTCTTTTGAATAACGTAATACGGGTGCGACTCAAATATATTGATTTCTCAGAAGGTCGAATCGGCCATCTTGGAGTAATGGTTTCAGGGACCTGCACGGGTATCTTGTAAAAACCTATAAAACGTCAAAAAAAACCTATAAGATGTCAACTTGCAGACTAGGTAGTTTTTAGGGCGCAAACAGTCATTCAGTGTTTGCTCACTAGGATCGTTGTGAACGTCCATCTATCGAGGAATCACTCAACTAAACTACGCATTAGTGGTTGCATAGTTTTGTGAGTGAGTGATCCGGGTTTGTAGTTTTTATCTCTGAGAAGAAAGTTGGTTGAATAGCAACATCGCATCTGGATGATTACGTGTATTGGTCTGCATGTGTATAAAATCAGTGATATTTGCTCTGTGAGAAAATCATTACTGAATATGACGGGTTATTTATATGTTATGCTTTCTGAAGAGAGGTTATGTTCAAAGTTATAAATTACGAAAAACTGGGAGCAGAATTACGGAAAATCATCACCACGCCCGCGTTGTGTGTAATTACTGTTAGCATGTATAGGGCTTGTAATTCGACAGTGTATAATTATTTCTTATCTCTCTCATTTTTTAAATTCAGCAAATTTTTATGTAATTTCCAGAATGGATTAGAAAAAGTGGATGCGCAACTAATTTCTAGCTTTGAATCTCAATTAAGTGTATTTGAGACAAGAACCCAATGTAATTATCATCAACACATACAACTTACAGCTTAGACCTCCAGTAATACCATCTCAGAAGCAGATTTTACATCACATCAAAGCCAAAGATTGATAACAAGCCTCAGGACGTTTAGGCAACACGTACAACTAAGTGCTAAGTTAACATCTTGTAGGATAACCTACATAATGTCAAAAAAAAACAGCATAATGTCAAAAAAGTCGGCATAATGTCACTTTTCAGAGTGTCTTCTAGTTATTGCTAGATGGGCTGCGGGTTCGACTTCTGCCCTCGGAAATAACATTCCGAGTGATAGATGTAGTGGTGATGGTCATGTGGAATGTCCGCCTCATTTGTCTGCAGTTCATATCTATTAAGTAAAAATCAGTGTCTATGGTGTGACTTCAAGTAACACTACCCAGCACACTTCAATTGTCTAACAAATGTCATAGCAGATTTGACAACCTTGCAGAACCTATAAATTGGCGGCATATCCAAATAATGAACAGGACAGGCTTACGAAATTTTGGAACCGTTTGCAGTACGGATTAACAGTTATCTATTATCGTATACCGGGTGCTTCATAGTTTGACCCTCACCATCAGGATGTCGGAAAACATGAAACATACGAAGTCGACTAAAAGGGGACAAGGTTGCGCACTTTAGGTGGTTAAATAATTTCGCAATCCAGAGTATTAAATCAAATAACTTTTTTTACCAGGCCAGATTTAAAATATGTTCACTATCTGCGCTACAATCCTTTAAAGTGGAGTATATCTTATATTTGAATATTATTTTTTAGGGAAGAAGTTTCACAGAAGATGAAGTTAGAAACATATGTGCGGCAGTTCTTCGAGGTAAGACAATAAGATACTGAATTGTCCTACTTTTTACAAATAATAATAAAACAATTTCAGATCAGCTAGCAGATTTGGCAGGAACCTTAGTAGGACCGCCTGGACCACCGGGCTCATCAAGGCCTGGAAGACCAGGACCTCCTGGAGATCAGGGACCTCCAGGTATGCCAAGATGTGGTCAATAGATACGAGGTGTGATCAAAAATATGGCGTATATTTACAAAAGCACAATACGCTGATAAAACGAACAGAAAGATAGCATGAATGTACAATGAACAAAAAAGAAAACATAATACGTGGCTTTCACATAATCAACTCAAATTCATTTTATGTAACATGTTTTATAAGTATATTTTTAAATTGCGGTGCAAAGCCCGTTGAAACCAAAATATTCAGTTTTACTCGGATTTTTTATAAATTTGATAATGGATTTTACTTGGGGTAGGATGTTAATATGTACATATCAACTTAGCAAAAATTATGACAAGTACATTAGAAGTATGGAGGATAAGGAGGAGTAGCACTTATGTTCTAGGATCATTTTAGTAAGCAATATCCACTAGTTTTCTTATTTCTTGCCAATTAGGGAAACATATTTCTTTAAATAAATTTTGTTATCCTAGGTGACGAGTTTAATATTATCATTATACATACGGTACATGTAGGCAAACAAATATGAATCTTACACTATGGGTAGGTGTGGCATCGAAAGATTATATTTCTTAGCAAAGCTTTTATACCTAAGTGTTCATTTTTTGTGTCTGGTAAGATAAGCATGCTTAACTTTAATGAAGGTATTTTTGTACATGTGTTAAATGACTTGATGCGAAAACGGTTGCGTTAGGTCAAACATTTCAGCCTCTGAGAATGATTTATCAAAAGGTATTTAAAGAGATGTAAGAGTTGCTTTTCCGTAGGTTTCAATCGGCGATAGATTTGGACTACTCGGCGTCCATTTTAAAACTGAAATATTGTTTTCTATCATCCAATCTTTTACTCTTTTAGCCATATGGCAGCCGACACCATCTTGTTGGAAGATATATTCAATACTGCTTAAACGCATTTGTTCAATTTGTGGTACTAAGTTATTTTGAAGCACATTATAATGTACTTATCAGCATTCATAATACCACCCACAAGGAGTAAATTTCCCATTCCACTTACTGACATGGATCTCCAAATCCTAATAGAAGCCTAAAACTTAACATTTTTGAGACAGTCTTTCTGAAACACTTCTGCTTTAGTTCTTATGGCACGACTCCTACTATCACCAACGCACACTTCAAATCTGGCTTCATCCAAATAATGGAATTCCAGTAGCTCGGAGACCATAATTTGTGTTCTTTGGCCTACGCTTGTACTTTTTTCGTCTGAATCTTTGTCAGTAAAGGCTTCTCTTTCGACTACAAGTGCTGAATTAAAAACGAATAATAAAAAAAATAATTTAAGCCTACTTTGTAAGTTTTAAGTGCCAGTTTTTCAGCAGCTCTGTGACAAGTTGCTCTTGAAAACAGGATCAAAAATGCTGAGAACTAGCCAACCCGTTGGTGACAATTAAAGCGGGGGGGGGGGAGTTATGTCGGCGACAAACTACTTTTAAAGTTAATTTGCTGATGAGACGAGTCGGTGCAAAATTTGTTCCTGAACCTACGTGACGAGCAGAAGGAAATTCGTATATCAGTTTGATTAGGACTGAAGGGCAGATCGCCTTGATGAAGATCCGGACTTGGCATATCCAAAATTACATAATTATAAATAAAAGCTGGATGTGTGGCTGTGACCCTGAAAGAAAAATGCGAAGTTCCCAAATAAGGCACGTCGAAGTCGAACTTTAAGGTCGTCCTTATTGTCTTTTTACGATAGTGAGGACATATTGTGTTCATTCCAAGGGGAATGCAAACTTCGAATATTGCCCGTACATATAACATCGTTAGCGAGACGATGTACGGAGAAAGAAACCCCAAAAGTTGGCTAATGGTTTCTGTCTTCATCACGACAATGCACAGCGCCATACATCGTCTTTGACAAGAAAAAATAGGATTTCTGTCACTTCCGAAAAATATAAGCCGTGCTGAAAGGAAGACGTTTTGATATCATTCCCGAGATTGAAAGAGCTACGACAGACCTGCTGAAGGTCCCTCTGAAAGAGGCCTTCCGGAGATGCTTCCAATCACTGTTGCTAACAAAAAATTACTTCTAATGAGATTAATTTAAGTTTGATGTAAGCAGAATAATTTGTTCGTAGTTACTCGCCGTATTTTTTTATCACACATCTGATTTTTATTAAGGAAAGTCATAAAGATAGCGCTAAAACTAAACCTAACCTCAATCAATACTTTTGTTCTTAGGAAATCCAGGTCCGCCAGGCTTGCCAGGCGAAAGGGGTTTTATAGGTCTTCCAGGCCCATCAGGCAATCCAGGACCAGCCGGGCTAAAGGGAGAGAGAGGAGAGCAGGGGGATAGGGGAGAGGAAGGCTTCGGACATGAAGGACCTGTTGGGCCTAGAGGTCCACCTGGCGCTCCAGGAAGCCCTGGACAGGGCTTACCGGGGCCCCAAGGTGAAAGAGGAGAACCTGGACGACAAGGTAAATACTATAATCAGAGCAAGTATTACTAAAAACGTCAAGCTTATTAATGAAAGGACTTACACAAACATATTGATTAGAATATAATAGAAACGTGAGTTTTAGGTCACAGATAAAAATAAATGCAAGAAATGGACAGTGTATTAAATAAATTAGATTGCCCTGATGTTTGTTATACGAGTATTTGTAGTTCATCCTTCAGAGGTTCTATGAGTCTAAGCCCTCTGACCGATTTGTACACAAATATTACTGAAACTTCTCTATGTAGGGATTCAACTAGGTTTTCGAATATTTGAGGTTAGCTTCACGTCCAAATCGAAAAAAATAAGCAACCTGGCATGACTGATGTCAGGAAGTCAGTCGTCTAATTAACACTGTTCACTTTAGCGGTAATAAAAACTCTATTTTCGTCGACATTCGTTATTTGCAGTCACTATCAAAAATAACCTAACGGAAGGCATAACGATTCGTTATCTTTGTTGCACTAAAAACACTCTATAGTATAATGAATTAGTATAATGTTATAGTGTCGAATGCATAATATGGAATATGGATAGATATATAAATATATAAAGTGCGATTAAAATGTAATCTGCGTGGGTCCATCCCTGCGGAAGCTTATCCCGTATTGGTCGACCTCACAGGGTTGCCATTCCGATATTGCCGAAATTCCTCGATGAAGTCCGTCTACAAATAAATGTTTGTTTTTATGCTTTTAGGTTCCCCAGGCCCAAGAGGATATCCAGGGCCTCAAGGACCTCCGGGGTATTGCGAATTCTGCAACAACTACGCTGCACAGAACTACTACCAAGCTTACCTAAGGTCTGCCGGTAATGACAAAGGACCAGACAGAAGATAAAAAATAATATCATAAAACTTAAAACTGAAACTCAAAAAATGTCTAATGCAATGTATGTACCTATTAAATATGTAAATAATAAAAATGTAATTATTAACTTGTATTTTCTCGCATGTAATTTGTCCAAAACCGACATTGTTTGAAGGAAGGCAGCTTCAGGTTTCAGAAGGTCACTGAATGAATTCAAATAACTTAAAAGGAGCGAAGGCTAAGTATATGCTTACAAAGCAGTGTATTGTCGCTAAAATTATGAAGATTTAGTACAACGCTACCCAACGTGACGAAATGCTGCAAGATTACCGTGGTGGGATGTGAAGCGATCGAATGCCGAATTTCTAGAGAATCTCACACTTCGGGCAGGAAAGGCAATAACGTGGAATTTTTCTGCCTGAGAGTGGCTATAAAATGTTTTCCCCTGTCAATAAAACGAACTTATTGAGTCAACCTTTCTGTAATAAATACTCACATAAATGTATTTTATGAGTTCGAAGCATTGTGTCAATGAACTTTTCAAAAATTTTCAGAATGCCTTTTGTAATAGCTCGTATAACTCGTGTATTGATTATCGAAAGTTCAATGTCTTTTTGTCCTCCAGATTGCTGCTAATATATTCAAGATCATCAAAGCCGTTACTGGACATTTGCATAATGTTTAAGTTTTGGTATTTTTATTCTGATTTGTATGATTACGGTTGTTTTGCCTGGCCCCTAAGGATAAGGATTAATTTCAAGGCGCCAGATGTGGACTGTAACACAAAAGATCGAGGTCAAGTAGATCGACTCAGCACTCACGTAATCATGTTTCTGGTATAGTACGTTCCCAATCTAACAAGTTGCATCCAAAATATTCAAACGAATGTTACGCAACATGTGTGCCACTTTTTTTAGAGCGGGGAAAACTTTTACCGCCACATTCAAGCAGAATCACTCGATAGCTTCCTTCTACCTCTTTTCTCTCCAAAGTGTCACATTCTCCAAAAACGGCATACTCATTAAAGCCACTCAGTTGTTCGCCATGCATCCTACCTCGGAAGCACATCACACCATTTCGTCATAGTGGGTAGCGTCGAGTTAATATTCATGCCAAAGGTATTTATCTCAACCCGTTATGTCCCTCCAAACAAACGCTTGTATGTACGGACATAGCTAGCATATCTTGCCTAACCATGCACTAATTGCATTTGAACCCATTTGCCATCGTCAGCAATATTGTCAGCAGTGAGCCTTCCGCCGAGCATTAGTTCCAGTTGTCTCTGGTAGTCAACATATCTACTAAATTCGACTAGATGCTAAGAAATATCCTCCTTGTAAAAGCAATACGTGCAGTTTGCGAATCGTCTTTTTCCTACCAGCTTTATGTAGCTTCCGAAATAAGAATGTCTCGAGAGGAATTATGCACTGCTTCCCTGTCACTCAATACATGACTGGTTCCACAGTTATCTAAGCAGCAGAAAACATTTGTTGAATGCACAGTTTGCCCAGCTCCTCTACTATACTGATGTTCGACAAGGTTCCATTATTGGTCCCCTCCTATACATAATATACTAAGTGACAAAGAAAGTGAAACACCTACGTATGTATGTTTATCCAATTTCAATAATTTTTGGCACATATGTCAACTGACTGCAGGAGCTGGTTCAATAATGTGTTGAGGATCCACGATTTCTTGAACTCATTGACACGCCTGGGTATTGTGCTGATAAGGTGGTCGATATCCTGTTGGGGTAGCTGAGTATACATATATGTCAATGACTTTTCCCTCCAACTTTTTGAATGTTGACGATACTTCCTTACCTGTTAATGGAAAAAACTTGGCGTCCATGCCAAGTCACGCTTCGCTGGTGCATAGCAATGGTTCAGTATTCAGTGTTCCTTAGGTTTAACCATCCTAATATGCACATGTACCACAGTCTCCTAATAAAATCGAGCGGTAGATCGATGGAGCAAGCAGAAGCTACACAATTTTCAGGAATTTACATATCACAAAGTTGTAAACAGGAACCAGAGAAAGTTAGTCAAAAAGATATCCCACTCTGCTATTGCATGATCATGCTGGGTTTTATCGTTGATAAGTGGTTTATGAAATAGAAGCAAAGGGAGCATCCTCCAAGTTACAACGGCTTTTTATAATACAAAAAAGAGCTACTGGAAGTATTGAAAAGCTGTGAAGGCATTTTAGTTGCAACGACTTGTTCACAACTTTGAAGATCTTAACGTTGCTTTCAATATACATATTAAATAAATTGGGTTATGTCAAAACAACAAAATTGGGCAATTTTAGTTATGCAAATTCTGAAATACACTGTACAACAAACAGAGAAGTGTTTGCGGTGCCGTCACATAGGTTGTGGAGAGCAGAGAAGTCTCAAATATTTGACAGTCAAACTCTTCAACGGACTGTCCATTCATCAAAAATCGCTACCGCAGACATTATTCAAGAAAAGAATAAGGAAACTTTTACTGGATAAAGCTTTCCACTCTATAAGAGCATTTTTAATGCATGAATATTTGTTTGTATCTATCTTTTTTTTATAATCCACCTACCACGAAGGCCTAAGGCCTAAGCACCCATTAGGTACCGTGCGGCTATAGGGGGATACATGGGAAAGGGGGGAACGCCACACGGACTCTGGCGAGGGAACATGTGTTATGCAACATGTACAGATTCTGGCTCCGCCTACGAGAACCGCCGGGTGGTACGTCTGCGTTCGACAGTCAGAGACCATCTACCACCTACGGACAATCACAACATCCATAGCCAAGAGAAAAATTTCTCCTGGGACGGGACTCGAACCCGCACAGCGCACGGCGGCTGATCAGGAGACCGAAGAGTCTACTACTGCGGCCACCGCTGCTGCCTAAAACAAACACACAACATCCATGGCGAAGGCGAGATTCGAACTCGCGACCGAAGAGTCAACTACTGCGGCCTTATTTAATTTTAAATTATTGTCGTTTGTATGTGTCTATAAGTTCATTTAGTTTGAAGCAAATATTATTCGGATAATTCCATTGTGACATTTCCTATATCACCTTGTAATCTACATGACGAATAAAGAATTATTATTATAACGTCTGCCTTTCATAATATCTAACACCTGGATACTTCCTTTAAAGTGTACATCTTTCATCAACCAGCAAATCTATTGGCGGAATTCCAGCCGCCACTAACAGCGCATCCGGCAACGTCGTCATACTACGTACTATTTGCTACGTGCGAAATGAGTGGTGGGGACTGTCAAAATGATTGCAGCTTTCTATGTGGCAGAGATGTGAAATACCTAACTCGGGATTGACATATATTGCTAATTTGTTGAATCCTTCCATGTAAAAAGTTCAAATTCCAGAAATTGGTCACAATACAACCGTAAAGTTAATGGCAATGCAAATTCTACACGTTTTATACAGCCACATGAAAATCAGGGCAAAGTAATATGACCAAGTATGATATTAGTGAATACATATATTTTTTACTGAAATTTAAAATCAACATTAAAAAAATATTTTTTTGAAATAATATATAATATATAATTAAACGAAGTAAATATTCGAATTTCATTGAGTAATAATAAAAAGGCGTTTATGATAGGCCTTTAATTAACTTCGCGGATGTCAACTAAAAGCTGCTTTTCATATCAATCAGTAAGTAGATATAGTCAAAATCACGAAAGATGACTACTACGTCATACCCTAAATTGTACTGAAGTAATCAATGGACGTACGTCGATGATAAAATCACGATGTCATGAATTTATATTATGATTTTGCGAAGTTAGGTTATTTCACTGATTATTTTTGTTTTCATTTTATTTCATGGTTTCAAGTGATACCTTAATAATAATTTTAGTGCTGACTTTTTATTTTGAAAAAAGTTATGAGTAGAATACACCTTAAGATATCAACACCAAAGACCAAAGTATTATTCGAAAACAACCTAACCTGCTTTAACATAACCTAACCATTCATTTGTCGGATACATGCAAACAATACAGTTTGTTTAGATAATAAAATTATGTTTGTCTCTGTCTAACATATTTGAAACTTCATTAAAAATATTCTCAAATCGCTGTCGTTTGTTTGTCTTTACTACAGACTGAAAGAATGATGTAATCGTCATCTTTCGTGATTTCGACTATACAATCATATTTAATAATGTTTTCTTAGGGAGTTTGCATTACAGACGTTTGTCTTATGATCAGAGCTCTTGTTCAGTAGCTTTGTCCGTTCGTCCTAAACTCTTGTCTTTGTGCTAACACTAATTTCTTCCCTTGTGCATAGTTTGGGGTTGTTAAATCAGGTGGTATGGATTAGAATTCCGTACGTACCTATTATCAAATTCGTTCTTTTTTCAGGTACGCAAATTTCTCAGTTTTATATGCATCAAAACCTTAAGTACCTTTATTTGGTTGTATAATTTTTATTGAAACATCTAGTTGCCAAGAATTGACAGGCCCCAAGTCCAGAATAATTATGGTCACGAAGCGGCGCTGTCATCGCGCATACAGCGAATAGGCAAATATCACGCCTTCCGTTGGCATTTGAGCGTCAGATGATAATAATAATAATGAACCGTCTTTTATTAAAAAAACAAATTACAGATAATGTATATTACCTATAATTAGATTAGTGAGCAGCTTAATGGCAAAGTTTAGCTATGACAGCTACTCGTACACTTAATCATTTACTGTATAAGAATAATTGGTGGTAGGAGAGTACAGCTGTAAATAAAATAAAATGAGGAAAATGAGCATGAAACTGATCACAACCTAAACAAATGCTAGCATAAAAATATAATGCTGGAGGAAAACACCTTTAAGAAGCACCATCGCGCAAAAGAGCTTTTAAATGTTTTCTAAAACTATACAGAGGGAGGCTTTTTGTTCTATAATCTAAGCTATTGTAGAACAAGCATGCATTGTATGAAGAGGACCGGTTAAAAAGAGATGAACTATGAAGTGGCATTGTTAAAGAGGATCTGTTACGGACAGGTCGTTAGTGAACATTATACCTAAAGATTAGTTTTTCACGTAAATAAATTGAAGTTCCAGAGACAAGTAACTTACGTATAAAGGTTAGGTAATTGTATTTTACTAAATCTGTCATC